GAACGATGGGATGTCGGACAACTTGGTACTTCGGGTGCAAGCGTGACATTTCATAGGCTTGATCCGATTATTTGCCATGTTGTTCCTGAATCCTGTGAACCACATTAGTGTTAAGAGGGACAGAGAATTCAATTATATAAATGATTTCATTTGATTTATCGAAAAGGACAAGATCAGTTTTGTTGGCCTGGATACGTCTGAGGTTGTATTTGGGCCTATTCCAAATAATCATATAATTATCATTTTCCACGATGCCCTCTTCATAAGATACTATGTTTGTGCCAAAGCTGGGCATCTACTGACAATGTGTTGGACAGTCTCATTTAATTCATTGGACAATCTATATGTGTAATATTTACATTGTGATGCAAATTGACAATTTGACGTTTTCGAGTAGGAAGTGACTGTTTCACTCGTCCGGCCAGCCTGCGACATCCAAGGACCCTGCAGGGTTTCTAGTCTTCTCAACACACTGCACATAAAACTGATGTGGTCGTTACGTTGATTAACCGAGCCTGCGCCGATTTGATATGGCACTGCATTTTGTTGACCCTTATGTCTGTACCGTCCATTTGTACAGAACCATAAAATACATTGACATTGAGATTGTGTCCTACATTCTTGGCTCGTTAAAAAAAACTGTAGAATGCCTTGCCTGTCAAGAGGATCATAAGACAAATAAATATGTGCGAAAGTGCACACAATAATCACGAAGAGCCTTCACGTTATTCAAACCACGTCATCCCATTATGATTGGTAAATTTAAGCGAATGAGGGAGGAGCGAGGGTGGAGGGACTTTTGTCTGACATGATTCTATGTGTGAATTTCTTTGTTTTGTCTTAACAACAAAATGAAAATCATACGAAAAAGGACTGGTACAACATAAGCTTATGTGGCTTTGAGTTGGAAACATTGTTGTTATTATTAATTTTATTTTTATAATTATTTTTCCCCTCAAATGTGAACATAATTCTTAAGAGCCTTCATAATCGGGATAAATAACTCCAGTACTGAATTTTCATGGTCTCAAATATTGATAACAGTATCATGAACCTTTCATACGAACCTTTCGTATATTTATATCCATTACGCTGTGTCGATATAATGAAAGAATAATGTACCAAAACAGGACCACGTGAGTCAACACAATAAACACATGCTCATTATAAAGTCGGAATCCTATAATCGACTCTGCTTTTGGCGAGAATATGGAAACGGTTTTGTAGCTTTTATTGTTTCGGAATCGACATAAATGACACAGATACTGAATTTAAAGCAAGGAAATATAGCTACTAACAGTCTCATGAATCGTTTAGATATATACTATATCCATTACCTTGTGGACCGCATCCGTGGTCTATTGGTAGAGTGTCCGCCCGGAGTGCGGAAGGTCGGGCGTTCGATCTCCGGCCGCCTCTAACCAAAAGACGTTTAAAGATGTTACTTGTTGTTACCCTGCCTGGCGTTCGAAATTAAGTGGCATAAACATGGCCTGGTCGCCTAGGAGTCAGTTTACTGTGTCTTAGTAGGGTATTCATGTTAAACTGCGACATGGTGTCTCAGTGGGTATAAAATCTCATGGTGTAAAATCGGCATCAGCCCGGACAAGTACAAGCAACCACACACACATACGTGCATGCACGTAAGTGCGTTGTGTCAATATGATGACGAAACAATGGACAAAAATAGGACCCTGTGAGCCTTCTGTTATTGTAACCTAAATTTCGACCGTTTATGAATTATGAAGCTGAACTTTTATTCAACTATTGAGTTCAGTTAAAGAGTATCGCGTATTTGCAAGTTTAACCTTGCATACCACATGAATCACAGCAATACAGAATAACAAACACCAGATGTGCGACACAGAGGTCGGGATTCGGCGCCAGTGGAGTTACAGGAAACGGGTCGGGGCGTCGGCATCAGTGTAGTTAGAATTGCTGATGCTGAAGACAAATGCTGTAGCGATGAACATGGGGAGAGAGATGGGGAGGGCTAAATGATTCCGGTCTGCTACACGTGCCCTTTTGAAATTCATGTATGTTGTGAATGAATATATAATTTCAGATAATAAAGAATATTATTCTAGTTCTACTATTTACGCGTGGGGCCATCTTAGAAATGCACATTTAAGTAACTTTTTATATATGCACCCGATATGTCCAGAATGGCTTGTGGTAAAGGGTAAACGATCGTGCCACACAACAGCCAGAAATGTCTAAAGCCACGTACACCATCTCCATCACACCTCATCCCCGCCTACAGACAGTCAGCCCCACATTCAGGTTGAAGGGGACCATGGTCGGCAGATTGGCAATACCAGCAAATTAGCTACATGACACTCGAACACCTCGTTCGTTATCTGCTAACAAAACAATAAATGCTGTATATCAGTCTGGCCTTCGAGTCTAGCCCTTTTTCATCCATGTAGATCTCCCAAGACCCATTCAGGGTCTTACATCCCATTGAGCTAATCCACATGTCCCACAAAATTTAAAATTTCAGGAACCACCAACAATTTCATTTTCCAAAACGAACACAATTTCATCCAGGTTGTTAAATTATAGGAAATTGGACTTGGCAGCTCATGATGTAAAATCCACTACTTGTGGCTGCCAAGACTCATCACAATGCTATCAACCTGCAGGTCATAAAATCACAGGTGACTTCTCTATTGTTGACAATAACAACCTTCGTCAGTTATTCAAATATGGACCAAAATATCGTGAGCAACCTCCTACCAATTGGGATCGAATCTTTATAATCATTATGGATGCTGTAGAAGAATATGCCAAAAATGGGCCAAAAGAGAAGAGGAACCTGTTGCATGTCTTTCAGAGTTGGTTAAGCGCGTGCGTGATGTTGTGATTGGTAGCATGCACAAACTTAAAAAGAAGTTCTAAACGGAATTGAATAAACCAATTCTGCCCCAGCCAGATCCAAAGTCTGCCTACCCTACATGAAAAGTCTGTAGTTTGTTCGCACTGACAAGGCCTCAAATAACATAACCATTATAGGTAAAAACATCACTACATTAATTGTTTGATCAAAGAACTTGGTATAAAGGACTTATCAAATAATGCCACATGTAAGGCCTGTATGTTAACCGGGGAAGAAATCTGCCCAAACCATGCATCAGTTCTATCAACTTTGACTTGACTCATGTCCATTCCTCTTTTGTACTGGATTCCAAAGCTCTTTTGTACCTGATTCTAAAAATCGGCACAAATAGAGATATATTGCTGGGTCCAGCAAATGTACCACGAAACTCCTGCCTCAAAGACTAACCATAATCCTTAATACAATCAAGGACTTTCTTTATATTCACAGAAAGTATTTGAGACAAGTAGCATTAATACCATGTGGATTCTCAAACGTTCAAAGGATTTGCTTGATATTTTGCAATCTCAGAAATGAACCAAGTTCCATTCTGTCAAAACATTTGATTTTTCAATATTGTACACCACTATCCCACATGACAAAGTTAAGGAAACACTTCATTCTTTGATCCAGGGGGCAGTTACGTATTTATATTAAGAGTTTCAGGACAATTTGTTAAAAATGAAACCAAATGCCACCAGAAGTTTCCCGAGAAAACAGAATGGGAAATACTGGACTTCTTCATTGATAACTTCGATGTAAATTGTGGGGTTAGACATTTAGGCAAGAAGTAGGCATCCCCATCAATTCTGCTCCCCTTCTTGCGGATCTGTTTCTTTATGCCTATGAATCGGAATTTCTGCTCAGATTGTCAAAGTCAAAACAAGGTAATTTGGCAAAAAAAGTTTAACTTAAGCTTCAGGTATACCGATGATCTGATATCGTTCAATAACAATCGAATGGCCAATTCCCTTCGACTGATTTACCCACCTGAACTAGATGTAAAGCAGACCAATGAGACCGCCTCCTCTGTTTCACATTTAGATCACTCGCCACAAGACTGTATGACAAGGGATGACTTCAACTTTCCCTTCATGTCGAGCAATATTTAGGCAGCTCCAGCCTTTGGTGTTTACATTTTACGTTTGCGATACAGTCGAGCATGCTCTTTCTACTAAGATTTAAAAGAGCGTCATACGACTCTTGCTCGCAAGGCCTCAGTAAAGTTTTCAAAACGGTTTTTTTATTGCAGACATATCGGAATCGTACCATCGACTCTGCTTTATGCAAAGATTTCTATTGGATATGGAAAGGGTTTTGTCGTTTTATTTCTATACATGACTTCTTATAATTCGTGCCTATTGAGAACTATGAAGCCACAAGAGTCAAAATGAAAGTCAATATTCAAATAAATTCTAAATAAAACTGTCCCGGCAATGAGTCCCCAAAAAAGACGGTTCTCGTGACGTTGCAGTCCACGCTGTCGTAGCCAGGATATGCTGAGGAATACTTTCTAAATTTGTTAATATCTTCGTACATTTCTGCGCGTACAAACCGATGCTACAACACGTTATGGTATTAAAACATCTTGAGCTTTTTCTTAAAAGAAATTTATAGTTGCTTTGTAAGTCAAAACTATTTAATCTTTGTGAATGTATTTTCTGTTCCCGTGCAATATTTCAACGCGCTTTACATGTCATCATGTTATTTATTAAAAACAAGGTCACGTTTGAAATAATGTTACATCAGATGAATTATTTTTTCTCGTCAATGCAACATATACATTCACTGTGAGTGTAAATAAGGTTAGAAACGTTCATTTCAAAATCAAGATACTTTGCAAGAGCAATCAGAATCGAGATAAATGACACAAATACTGAAATATTATGTCATCAAATATAGCTGTCAACAACATTATCATGAACCTTTTTTGAACTCATTCAGTTGTGTCAATATAATACAGAAATCGCGGTCACAAAAAGACCCCGTGAGCCTTCTGTTATTGTAACCTGAATTTCAACCGTTTACGAATTATGAAGCTGAACTTTTGTTCAACTACTGACTTCAATTACGCACAATGACCAATTCGCGATGCTTTCATTGGCTCCCAGCTGTTATATATATAAATATTACATATATATATCTAGTCATTAGTAAGCCACTTTCTTTTCACGATGGTAACAGCACGCTACCTTGTGCACGATAAGGCACTTTGCAAGTCTCTGATTTCCGAGAAAAGTTGGAACGTCTTCGGTGTACTCCCCAAAAAACCAAACACATGGTAAGTGTCTCGGGGTGGCTAATGACATATAATTACTATATTAGAAATAATTAGCGTGCCATGTCCTGTTTCTCGGATATCATATATAGATAGTTGCTGGCGTGGCATGCACATTAACAAACGCTTTGACATTAAGTGGTGTTTGGATCAACAGCTCCTTTGGCAAGTCAACGTAAAGACAATGTAATCTATTTGGACATATATTTCAATTCATGATTTTAGTTGTTCACGAATTGCATTATTCTATCCTCAGTGAGCTTCAGCAGAGGGCCCAGGACTTAACCTTTGACGATGATGACGGAATCCTCGATGACGTGTCACGGTTCGTACTGTGGTCCTTTCTCGCCATCATCTTGGCAACCTGGCTGTGGCGTCAGTACTACCGTCATGCCGGGGACCCCCGCAGCAAACTGCCCCTCCCCCCAGGGTCCATGGGCTTTCCTTTGGTGGGCGAAACACTGTCCTTGATAACTAAAGTAAGTCTTCGTAAGAATGCGTAGTAAAGAATGTAATATTTGTATCTAATTCAGTGTTGCCAAGTTCAAAGATGTAATCCAGGTCAAAAAGCTTTGGTGGCTTGTACGATGTTTTTCAATGTATCAGTGTGTCGATTGGTGGTCTGTTAACTCACATTTCACTGGACACAACATGTAGTCCAAGGACTAAGGAGGTTTAACTGTACTAACAAGGACGACTGTTTCTCCTGCAGGGTTCTGACTACTACCTGTCTCGGAGGAAACAGTACGGCCGCGTATACAAGACTCACATACTGGGACAGCCTACCATCAGAATCATTGGAGCTGATAATGTGCGCCATATTTTGATGGGGGAACACATCACTGTTGAGAGCAGCTGGCCAAAATCACTCAAGCGTTTAATGGGGCCTGGTGGACTACTGAATGCAAGTCCTGACAGTCACAGGATCAGGAAGAAGCCACTCCTCAAGGCTTTAGCTCCTGCAGCAATACAAGGGCATGTTCCAAGAATACAAAAACTTGTCAGAAGCCACATATTGGACTGGTGCAACAAGGGGGAAGAATTTGGAACAGATATTTCCAAAAGGTTGGCGATGTCAGTTGCTGCCAACATCCTTATTGGATTTGATGTCGATGATCAGAACCTCCAGTCAATAATCAGCTCTTTCCAGACTTTCAGTGGCAACTTGTTCTCATTGCCATGGAAACTACCCGGATCAGGACTGTCAAAGGTGTGTATTATTTTTTTACTCAGCAGGCGTAGGACATACATTTGTACATAAATCAATTTAACAAATGCATGCCCAGACTAATATGGTCCACTATGAACTCCCGTCGCCAGTCACCAATATTCCAGATTATCATGGCGGCGTGTAAGTAATCGAGTTTTGCCCAGACTAATATGGTCCACTATGAACTCCTGTCACCAGTCACCAATATTCCAGATTATCGGGGCGGCGTGTAAGTAATCGAGTTTTGCCAAGACTAATCTGGTCCACTATGAACTCCCGTCACCAGTCACCAATATTCCAGATTATCATGGCGGCGTGTAAGTAATCGAGTTTTGCCCAGACTAATCTGGTCTAATATGAACTCCCGTCACCAGTCACCAATACTCCAGATTATCATGGCGGCGTGTAAGTAATCGAGTTATGCCCAGTCTAATATGGTCCACTATGAACTCCCGTCACCAGTCACCAATATTCCAGATTATCATGGCGGCGTGTAAGTAATCGAGTTTTGCCCAGACTAATATGGTCCACTATGAACTCCCGTCACCAGTCACCAATACTCCAGATTATCATGGCGGCGTGTAAGTAATCGAGTTTTACCCAGACTAATCTGGTCTAATATGAACTCCCGTCACCAGTTATCAATATTCCAGATTATCATGGCGGCGTGTAAGTAATCGAGTTTTACCCAGACTAATCTGGTCTAATATGAACTCCCGTCACCAGTCACCAATATTCCAGATTATCATGGCGGCGTGTAAGTAATCGAGTTTTGCCCAGACTAATCTGGACCAATGTGATAAGTCGACTCTTACGCTAAGCATGTAGTTCTGGTTACACGTTCTGGTCCAGAATCCTAACTAGAGTATGTGCTGAGATAGGGATGGTGCAATATTCAAAATTCTATTGGGTGTTTTCCTAAATGAAAGCTGTTTCTTTCGATGTAGGGTCTAAGAGCACGAGAACAGCTCATAAAGGAAATTAAGAAAAGACTGCAGTGTGAGACACAACAATGGTCCCTTGTTGATGAACTGAAGAATCTTGATGAAACGGCTGCTGCACTCACAGTAGACGAAATGGCAGATGCCATCTTGGAATTATGGTTTGCAGGGAACGACACCAGTTCCAGCACGTCAAATTCAACACTACTGGCTTTAGGTAAAGATGATGGTGTCCGAAAACGAATCGAAGAAGAACTGGCCGAGAACGGACTGTTGAATTCTGAAGATGAGCTGACGTTTGACAGTTTAAAGAAGCTGACCTACGTAGATCACGTGGTGAAGGAGGTGCTCAGAGTGTATCCACCTGTTGGTGGTGGTTTCAGGAGGGTCAAGAAAACAATGGAGATTGAGGTAAATTGAAAATATTAAGAAACGTTCACTTGTCCCTTTCCAGCAAAAGTGTCGAGAACGAAATACTTGTACTTGTTTTTGATAAAGTCTAGATCCACTACACACAAAAACTAATTCAAAAAGAGCTGTAAACGAGATGACTTGTTCCTTAGTTTCGTAAAAACAAAATACTTGTATTTGTTTTCGGTAAACTCCAGTTCTGCTACACACACAAACTAATCCGAAGAGAGCTGTGGTTCAAATTGAAGTTTACTGTGTGCATACACCTGGTCGAAATTTTAGTCCAATGAATTCCATCAGGTCAAAATTCCGTTTTCACGTCAAAAGGGTATTGGTCGCTACTTCCAGAGATCGTGATGGGCTTTGAATAATTCACTGAAGCACAATTAACTGATCTACTAGCCAACGCTTCCTGGATTGGAACATCTAGAACAAACTAAGCCTAAACATGTAAAGACAATGGCCAAGCCTCATACGAGGCGTTATTAATACAACGACCACCTTTGAAATAGTTAGCTTTACTTAACCTTAACTGTGAATACTTGTCAGAATTGTCCAGTTCTTCATGTTGGTTGCAAAGGCAAACTCACTCATACACTCTTGATTTCCATCCTCAGGGCTACCAGATTCCAGAGGGATGGTCTGCGATCTACAGTATCCGGGACACGCATCAAACCACCAAACTCTTTGAAGACAAGGAGAAATTCCAACCGGATCGCTGGAATGAAATGGACAAGGAGACCCGTCTGAGTGGCCAACGGTTCCACTACATTCCTTTTGGTGCAGGAGCCCGAGCATGTCCTGGTGAAAAGTTTGCCAGGATGTTTTTGAAAATCTTCATTGTGGAACTGATCAAGACATGCACATGGGAACTGAAGAACAAAAACCCTAAGATTTCCTACTTTCCAGTTACAAAGCCTTCAGATAATCTCCCTGTGACCTTTCACCTTCGTGAGGACCTTGACAAGGATGTGTCAGGGGACAAACTATGAATGTGCATTTCATTTCAAGTGCTATCTACTCGTATTACAACAGAGGCCATCAGAAACGGGCTTCACAGATTGTCCCCATGTATATCAAAACCCGGGAGCTAATGTTCGTACAACTAAACTACCCCACTTCCCGTTTTGGCCAATAACAGACAGAGCTATCCATGTTAATATTTGACACTGGGCTCCTTTTTGCATAATCTTTACATCAACCCATATGCTACTTCCCTGCAGGGGGCACGGCAGGTCCAGTCGTCTTAGGCGCCGCGATTCGCTGTTCAGTTTTGCGTTCCTTGGGCACGCCAGAAACCTATGATTATGGGTTCGAATCCCGGTTCGCCCCAACTATGTTTCTAGGTTTGTCAGCACCATGCCCGTGTTCGTGGATTTCAACGAAGTGGTAAACGTCTGAGATCTGCATCACTTCGGACTTCCCTCCAACATTAAGCTGACACGCTGTGATATAACTGGAATACTGCTAAAAGCGGCGTTAAACCCAACTCACTCACTCACTTCCCTGCAGCTTTGAACAATCCAAAATTCCTATTGGAGAGACCTCTCATCTCAATCTGCGAAGTTCCATTTTTCAAATGAATAAAAGCGACTAAACGCTTGCCCAATTCATAAGAAATCTTTGCCAAAAGCAGTTTCAATTTGTACAGTTTTTTATCCATTAATAAATGCCTAACCCTTGGTCAACTTTCGTTTCGCGTTGATTAAGGGGAGAGCAATCCCAAATTACCACCCTCTTGAGGTTACCAATACAAATATAACAAAACAACCAATACATCAGGAGCTAGAAAGAGAACGTGTTTTCAAAATGGGAATGATGTGTTTTCCAGCTATATAAGGTGACTAACAAGTGACCAACTTCCTATCTTTTGCATGACTAATTGCTGTCATATCATACCAGCATGTCATATCACCAAGACTCCCGACTTGCCAAATTAATTCATTTGGGACAGAACAAAATCTGTAGCAGGTCGTGCTTATAGGCTGTTATCTTGGTAACATTGCTTTGAGTGAGTGAGTTGGGTTTAACGCCGCTTTTAACAGTATTACAGTTATATCACGGCGTGTCAGCTTAATGTGGGAGGAAAGCCCGAAGTGATGCATGTCTCAGACGTTTACCACTTCGGTAAACTGTAAATCCAAATACGTGCGAAGATTGATTGATAGGCCCTAATTTGCTTGTTTGTTGTTTAACGCCGTACTCAGCAATATTCCAGCTATATGGTGGCGGTCTGTAATTTGCTTTTTGTTGTTTAATGCTGCACTCAGCAATATTCCAGCTATATGGCGGCCGTCTGTAAATTGCTTGTTTGTTGTTTAATACCGCACTCAGCAATATTCCAGCTATATGACGGAGGTCTGTAAGTAATCGCCTACATAGAAGGAATTGTACAATAGTTAATTTTTTGGCATGGACATTCCATGCTGTCATGGGGATATGTCCAAACAAGAGCAAAAGTGAGCGTGGCTCACTAATACCCCCGACCCGCCTAGTGTGTAAGTAGTTTCAAATTAAATAGCTAGGATAGGTTTAGGGTTTGAAAAATTCATTTAAAAAATGGAAAAATAATAAAAACATTTTGTGTTCTCTTGACTGCACCCCTCGATATGACACAGATTATATGTACTAAGTTTGAGATGAATCCACTGAATAGTTTAAGGGAAATCACGCGGACAAAGTTTTCGGACAAACGTTAGGGTTTGAAAAATTCATAAAAAAATGGAAAATTAATCAAAACATATTTTTTTCTTTTGACTCCTGTGTTGTACACATATTTTCATGGATGTTTTTTTATCTTTCGATATCAGTAATACTCCGTACTTGTAATTAAAGCTTAGACTGGGAACCTTCTTAAGCTGAAACAAATTAAAGCAACTAGTTTGTGAGCAACGGCTTTTGAAACCTCCTGCAGATACGTGACCTACATTTTGGTAATTTTCACAGCCATGCTATTCTTTTAGGAACCTGCGATATATATGGAATAAGGAGGCAGTTCAAATGTTGAATGTCAGATAAACATCTCTTTGACAAAGTCATCATTATACACTAAAGTTTTACTGAGGGTTTCGGGGCACGTCTCAAATCTTAAGTTTTCTATCTGATAGGAAAGTTTTGAAGTGCTTCCTTAATTGCTGCTATCCTGGAATTTTGTGCTGAATCATCTTTTTTCAGTCTTCATTCATATATATTAGCATATTTCTCCTACCAGCTTATTACATACTCAGCAAAAACAGTATGTGTGATACCACATAAAACAAGAACCTGATCAAAGTAGACGCACACATCTGAAAGAATTCATAATTTTTAAAAATGGACCAGTAAATCAAGTTTACACCTTTAATGACACGTCTACCACAGAAAAGACGTTATGACAAGAGAAAGATGCAAGAAAGATTTGTCAATTCACACGTCAGTAGCGTGTGTCTCCCTCTCGCTTGGATGTATGCAATGCATCCTTCGCATTGAAAAGAACAAACGTCCAACATAATATTTTGGAATGGCATCCCATATCTCGACCAGTCTCTCTCAGTTCTCTGTCTGTCGTTGATTACTCCCCACACCATAACACTGCCTCCTCCAAAACAGTCTTCCCCCACAACACAGTTCTGAGCGTAATGTTCACCGCGACGTCGGTATACTCGTATTCGGCCATCGCCATGGGAGAGGTCTCCACTGAATTGCCGTCCAACGCACTTGCTGTCTACACCACTGCAGACGCAATTGGCGGTGATTGTTTGTCAGAATTGGTCTCCTCGCAATAAAATCGTCAACGACGGCGACGTTCAGTCTGTGGCGATATTCGACATTCGGCAATGCATACCGAATCCCTACAACACACGTGCTTTTATACCCTGGCTTACATCATCAATTGCATGATTGCTGCGTTTAAGACACTTTTTGCAACCAGATCATGCATTTCTGCTGAGCTTGCGTTTGTGCTACATTTATATCCGATCTGAAAAACAGAAAGGTTTTTCTTGTATGCAACCGATTGGAAAGGGGTGTCGGAGGAACCCTTGTTGCTGAGTATATATATAACTGTTACCTCGAGGTGTAGTGGTGTAATGGTTGCCATAGTAACAAGATCCTGCAGACCAGTGTATACCTCCTAATTTGTATTTCCATACACAGGCTAAAATTGTGTCCAGGTTCACAGTTAATGACATGTCTGTTGCTGTATGTTGCACTGACCAATAGTCCAGATTCAAGACATCGGAGCAGACAAGCAAGTGATTCATATGGTGACAAATGATTCATACCGTTGGGGTACAATGACACTGTCAACCAAGTCACACAGCCTGACATCCATATCCATTAACTTAGCAAACAAAGGCACCTCTTCCACATCAATGTTCTGCCTGGGAACTAAGTGTATATCTTAGTGAAATAATCTCACTGTCCATCTTAACGTCATATTGCCCTTGTTCATCAGTTCTTAAGTACTGATATTCTGGCCAAGCATGCACCTTGTGGCAACAAGTGTAAACTGGTCCATTTGTATAAGTAAAACATCCATTGAAAGACTAGGAAGTATACTATACATTGCCAGTATTATCAGCCATTACAACTACAGTTTGATCAAAGTTTCACAAATGAAACTGATGGTATATTGAACAGACTGAGGAAAGTATTGATGTAACTAAAATAAACTTATCTTTGGCAGGCGAACTGATTTGGATATTGTGAATGGCAAGTTGTCCTGACATTGTTCCATTTGCTTGAACTTTTGGCAGATATTTTGAACAGCAAGATGACAACGCCAGACCACACTGTGCCCTGGTCATGAGAAGGCATGCAGACTTTGGACTGACCCGCTAAGTCCCCTGACATGTCCCCAATAGAACATCTGTGGAATGTTCTTTGACGGAGAGTGTATGGCAGAGACCAAGCACCTGCCAACTTGGCGGAGCTTGGTGTAGTTTTTCGGGTCAATACTTTGGCAGCCAATACTCAGTCTACCATACACAATGTAATCATCAGGATGTCATGGAGGTGTTGTGCATGTATCGCCCAAGATATTGATCTACACACCCGAAATTAATTTTACAGACCTTCACTATCCTTTCATTAGTTAGGCTTATCTGTTGTCTGTAGTATATCCTGTGTCAGCTTAAAGTGGGAGGAAAGCCCAAAGTGACGCAAGTCTCAGACGTTTGCCACTTTGGTGAAACCACCAATCACCAGTATGGTGCTGACAAACCTAGAAACATAATTGGAGTGAACGCAGATTTGAATCCAAAGTCATAGGTTTCTGGTGTGCCCAAGGAAGCAACTTTGCACAACATTTGTAGCACCTTAGACGAGTTCAGAGTTCGAAAAATGAGTGAGTGAGTTGGGTTTAACGCCGCTTTTAACAGTATTCCAGTTATATCACGGTGTGTCAGCTTAATGTGTGAAACCCACAAGCACGGGTATGGTGCTGACAAACCTAGAAACATAATTGGGGTGAACCGGGATTCGAACCCACAATCATAGGTTTCTGGCGTGCCCAAGGGACGCAACTCTGCACAGCGAATCGTGGCACCTTAGATGACTGGGCCACCCGTGCCCCCAGAGTTCAAAAAGAGGTATGACAGTTTAATCACTCTCTTCACTTCAACTTTATCATACATATATCTGGTATTTACACAAACATTTAACATTCAACTATGAAGGAAAAGGAGAAGTGCATCAGCCAATACACCTACAGCTACAACAAAGCATATCCTGGCAATAACCATGAGAGATCAGAAGTGGGGGGAAAAGCACAAAATCAAGAAAACCATTGAACATTTACTTATTCACTTTTAATTTATTGTCACAGCTGAGGTCAGATGAAGTATTTAACATGAACAGTAACACAAAGGCATTTTAAATCACCACTTCAACAACAGAGTTAAATGTTCCCACAACTTGTAATAAGATACTGTGGAAATGTTCATCATGTTAATAACTTTGGAACTGTGTCAATTTCCTGAAATAGGACAACTGATAACATTTCTTAATGTTATTCTCCTTGAATAATAACAAAGAACTGAATAAATTGTAATTGCATGAAGTGTGTACAGTGCCTATCACTTCCCCAAGTTCACAGAGAACCATTCTCTTACAGAAAAAACAGTAGAAATTCTTCAGCAAATGGAAACGTACAAAAATTTATCAGCTTTCATCCTCTTTCCAAATTCAACTTTCTTTAGACCAAGCTCGTGCCCCGTCCTCCTTTCAGATATTGTTACAGAACAAGATTATCATCTTCTTCAAGTGAGTGAGTGAGTGAGTATGGTTTTACGCCGCTTTTAGCAATATTCCAGCAATATCACGGCTGGGGACACCAGAAATGGGCTTCACACATTGTACCCATGTCGGGAATCGAACCCGGGTCTTCAGCGTGACGAGCGAACGCTTTAACCACTAGGCTACCCGACCGCCCCATCTTCTTCAAGACATCAATACCTAAATAACAAAATCATTGTCTTCTTCCTCCTCATGGGCAAAATATTTCTCTCTGAATCTCTTGATGTCCCTCCCTGGGAGGTTGTGTCTCAGTGCCTTGAAGCTGAAATAGACGTAGGACAGCTGAATGACAAACACATCCATTTCATAAGGCGAGCATCGGACAATCTCACCACAAATGTTCAGGAGCCAACAGAAGGACTTGGGGCGGTACAACTCCAAAGGTTTCTTCCTGTCATCTAAAAGAATCTTTTTGAAAATCACAAAGTTCTCACTAGCACTGATATGTTTTTTCATGCATTCAGCCATCTTGACATGTGGAATGTGAAGCTTCTCGTGTAACTCCATCTTGGTGATGACATGTCTCACAGCTTGTTTCACAGCCGATTTCTTTTTTTTAGGTCTTTGGGTCGGACAGTTATCAAATGAGTCGACTGACATGGGCTCAGTGCCACTGTATAAAGAACTATCATCGCTATCACCACCACCGCCTTCATAATCCTCTTCATCCTCAGATTCCATGCATGAGCTGTAGATAGTGTCGTCCGACAATCCATGACGGTCAAGGTCATCGAGAAATGTTGCTGGCGTTGTGATATGTTTCAAGCTGCTACATATGAATTTACGACCTTCCCTTGATATAGATCTTTCCTTGTCTTCATGACCTTCCCCTCCATCACAAACTTCAGCTTGTGGAATATCAGAAGACTTCTGCATCTTCTCAGCTACTAATTTGAAAGGATGAGCTAAGTCTTCCTTCGTTCTCTGCTGGTATCGATTGTAGTCATCTACAAAACAAATCACTAATTTAGTAATTGGAAATGGCTTTATGTAATGTGTTTTACATGAGAGTTCATCGCATGATGATAGGGGTAAGAATAGGTCCCCAGCACATTCTTGCTGACCTGATTGAAATTGTCATGAGAAATGGCTGATGACATCTCATTGAAGCCACTGGTTGGTCTGTCCAAGACACATTTACAGGCCACTGTGATATAACTGGATAGTGCTACCTGGGACACAACCAGTCTTACAACAAGTAGTCAACATCTAAACAGATGAACATATTTTTAGATAATACCTGTCCTGGGAGTGTCCTTTTGTTTAACACTTTATATTCTCCCACAGTACAGGAAACTAAATGTCATATCCTTTTGTTGTATGTAGGGTGGCATATAACTTTCATAATTCCCCCTTTAATAAAATTTCAAATAACAGCAAACTTGAAACTGTGATCACTCATCTTTAGAAACGAATGCCTCACAAGCACACTGCATAATCAATAGGTTTTCCTTGTAACTACGATAGCTACTTAAGTCTTTGATAGGCATTTAGAAGTCAAATGAACATAAAGTCTTTTAAGGATAACAAGTTCTTTATTGTATGTGTAAGGTTGTTACAAACAATAAAAACGTTAGTATCCACAAAAGATTCATGTTTTCATACAAAAGTTATGGTAGGTGCACTGAGGCAATAAATGTGTAGTGTTGACTTTAGTCATCTTCCAGGCATGTCACGGCACGGCACGGCACGGCACGGCACGGCACGGCATGACACAACCTTGGGCTTCATACATAGAACCTACATAGGGAATCAAACTCTGCTTTTTTTCACTTGACAAGCCAACTCTTCAACCACTAGGCTACCCCATCGCACTAGTGAATCTGAGTAATCAAACGAGGATCAGACTAACAACCTTTTTTTACAATAACTTTCCCTACGCTTGCGTAAGATGGCAATCGTGTCACACATCGTAACAACCTAATCCATTTAGTGAGCTGTTAGAAAGCATGGGAAACCGAGTACCTATCTACTCTGACATGGAATTTCAATGGGACATGTTGATACATTATTTGTTACAACAATTCCATTGTAATCAATCTCGATCAAAACATATCTTAAAATTTACGCAGCCATTAAACCTTGCCTTCATAAACATGATAAATGTGTTCAAAAAAGGGCTGTTGCATTGGCACATAAATCACATTGCAATATGTTTGGGGCTCAAATCATATACAGTCAAACAGTTGAAGTCGCAGTTGAAGGGACCGACGTAAATAGTTATCTAAGGTTTGACACAATCGAAAATGATGAATAAAGAAGGAATACATATGGACCAAGCTTTCACATCGAGACAACCATCAGTTTGACACATCAAAGTTGAACATAATGGTGTTTGACTATATTTGTACTGTTCAAATGGTATTTCTTCACTTAATAATCCAGACATCAGATTGTGAATTTGGTTTTGACAGTATGGATGAGATACCTATGACGTCATCAATATGGAGTGTTAATGTAAACAGAACAAAGTGTGTGCTGTTTTAGATAAGAACCCAGTCGATCCAAATATCTCAATATAGTAGATAAAAATCATTATGATTATATATCAATTCTTTTGTGACTGTATTGGAAAATAGTGATACACACAGGTTGTATTGCGATATGTGTTGTTGTTGATGGCCGTATTGCATTATACAGGTATACTAGTTATATTGCACACCCCTAGTTCAAAATGTAGCATAATAAAAACAATTTAAAGTACTTACCTCCCTTTGAATTGCCTTTGCCCATGTAGTAGCGTGGAGTGCGTCGACGATGCTGATTGGACTTGTAGTAGCTCTCTAGCAGGACGTCGATATTGTTCACATCTGTCAGATCACTGCAGGAAATTACAAGTGGTTATTCTTTTCATCTTCAAAAACGTTATGTCATCAACCAAGTTAGCGAGCCTGACCACCTTATCCCATTATTCGCCGGTAACCTCCCAAAACCCCTACATCCCATTTCCCCTACAGCTTAAGACAACAAAGTTCACGGTCCATGGCACTGCTAATCCCTAGTCTGTTACCTATTTCATACAATGGAACAATCAAAGAAAGACGAAAAAGGAGTCAGTCTCTCGATGTTCTTAGTGTGAAGATAACCATCAAATAGGACTTAGGGCTTTCCTCTCTGTGACATAACAAACTCAACATTGCGAAGACCAGCCATGTTGATGTCATGTTAGTTAGTTACTTACTTACTTACTTACTTACTTACTTACTTACTTACTTTGGAGATTTAACGTCCGCTTTCCGACTGATGCGTATTTCGCACACGGATCATGTTAGTCTGACTGATATAAAAGATTTAACGTGCGCTTTCCGACTGTAGCGTATTTCGCACATGTTAGTTACTTACTTACTTACTTACTTACTTACTTTGGAGATTTAACGTGCCCTTTCCGACTGATGCGTATTTCGCACACGGGCCCGACCAGGCCATTTAATGTGTTTCCGAAAGGGGCGATAGTGGTGTGTGCAACCCAAGAGGGGGCTTTAGGGGTTGCTTATATAGAATTTGGGAATTTTGAGATTTGGAATAGATACCGATGGGGTTGGGGAGTAGAACAAAGGGAGCTGGGTATGGTGGATGTTTGTTTGTTTATGTGATTTTGATTTGGTAGATTATAGTGTTTTTAGATGCGTTTTATTAGTTCCGTTTTGATTAAGAATACGCCTAAGGCCTTGAAGTTTTCTAGTTTATTTTGTGGGTTTAGTATTGCGTGAGAGAGCCTTGTTTAGTTTGAGGGTGGTTTGTAATGCGGTTCGATGTGTTAGGTAGTGTGTGCAGTGGATGAGTGCGCGTTCTGGGGTTTCTAGTTGTTTGCAGTGTGGGCAGTTACCTGTAGTGTGTTTGTTTTGTTTTTTTAGGTGGTTATTTAGGTTGGTGTGTCCTGTTTGGAGTTTAGTGATTACTCTGTCGATTTTTTGGGATGGATGGAGAATTTTTGGTTTGGTTAGTGGTTTGCTGAGTACTTTTTTGATTTGGCTATTTGAGTTTAGATATAGGTTATGCCATTTTTGGTGATTTTTTGCTTGTTTACGCTTTTAATTTCTAATTTTGAGATGGGTAAGTTTAAGCTTATTCCTGGGATTTTGATGGATAGTTTGGCTGCCTTATCGGCGTTTTCATTACCGTATATTCCTACGTGGGCGGGTATCCACAAGAAGGTTATTTGTTTGCCTGTGTTAGTTAGGTCGTTGGAGCTTTTAAGTATTTGATTTATTAATTTAGGTCGGTTTTTGGTATGTTTGTTATGGAGGGCTTGCAGTCCACTTAGGGAGTCGGTAAGTATTAGGATTTTTTTTGTGGTTTTTGGATTCTTGATTATGGAGGGCTGAGGCCATGCCCATTAGTTCTGCCGTGAATATTTATTGGTTGTTTGGGAGTCGGAAGGATTGTGTGGTTTTAGTTGGTTGTGTGGTATGGACTCCGAAACCTGTGTGTTTGGAGGTCGGATCTGAAGATCCATCCGTGTAAATGTGACACCAATTTGGCCAATTTTCGTGTATGTATGCTAGTGTGGTGGTTTTAGCTATGTTTGGGTCGGTTTGTTAATTTATTGGTCTAACTAGTGTGGTGTCTATTTTGGGTATTTTAAGTTTAGGGGTGAAGATATTTGATTGTTTGCAGTTTTGTTTAAGATTTTTAATTTGGTGTTCATTTAGGTAGTTTGTTATTCACATGTTAGTCAGTTTCAAGTATCTATATACTAAACCTAGCCATTGTAATTTCTAAAAATTGTCTTCTCATCATACAGGCATCTTTCATTACACTTACATTAATTCTTTTTTTTTTTAAACTTTCCTTTAAGTCCCCTAATCCCCTAAAGCTCTACCCCTTTCATTTCTACTACCTCTACTCCAGACCTTAATCTCTCCTTTAGGTCAGTTCATAATGCCAGACAGGTAAATGCCACATGTTGTTTTAACTAATTGTAGGGGAACTGGGTTGTAGGGGAAATGGGATGTAGGGGTTTTGGGAGATAACCTATTCGCCTCTTATGACAAGCATAGACTCTACACGAAGAATAGTGCTGCAGGCACTGTAGCTCACCAGAATAGGTAATTAACAGTATACAATGTCAACAAAGAAAGATGCTGATCATAAGTGAGTGAGTATGGTTTTACGCTGCTTTTAGCAATATTCCAGCAATATCATAGTGGGGGGACACCAGAAATGGGCTTCACACATTGTACCCATGTCGAGAATCAAACCAGGTCTTCGGCATGACGAGCGAACGCTTTAACCACTAGGCTACCCGACCGCCCCCGCTTATCATAAATTGCTGTCAGCATTGATATTCAAATATTTTCTGACTCCGTGGTTTAATGGTAGAGCGTCCGCCCGGAGAGCGGAAGGTCAGGGGTTTGATCACAGGCCGCATCATACCAAAAGACGTTAAAAGATGGTACTTGTTTTGACCCTGTCTGGCACTCAGCATTAAGGGGCTAAAGCAAGGACTGGTCGGCTCAGAGTCAGTATACTGTGTCTGAGTGGGGTATTCATGTAAAACTGCAGCATGGTATCTCAGTGAGCTAGCACTATAAATCGGCATCAGTCCGGACAAGAACAAGCAGCCACACACATACATACACGTGCATGCAGGTAGCTATATAAGGGCATTAATCTTGGACACAGCGTTTAACCCCAATTCACCTCACCTCACCTCAAATATTTTCTGATTATTTACTTAGGAATAAAAAGTAACACTAAAATCTCATGATTTGAACAAATTATGACGTCATCATATGGTGAAGTTCAGCTTCCTCAGTATGTCAATTTCAGAGAAGTTTACAGAGCCAATACACTTGAGAAAAAGAACAAGGTCAAAACAAGATAAAAAATTAAGATGTCTCTAAAAACATAATATACATGTTGAGCCACACTACTAACTACACGTGTACAAAATGTCATTCCATTGATGATAGTAACAGCCATAATTAGCTATTTTAATATGGCTGGTAAGGTGGTCATATAATTGGGTCAAAAGGTAAAGGTCAAATCCTGGTCAAAATTTTAAACACTGTGACAAACAGAACATACGTGTAGAGCCTAACTACTTTCTACACATATTCTACCAAATATCGTTTCCAATTTGAAAACAGTGGCTGGTCAATGCCACAAATAGGTTTTTCAACATGCCATATTGAAATCAGATGTGAACCTCTCGAGTGAGTGAGTTGGGTTTAACGCTGCTTTTAACATTATTCCAGTTATATCACAGCGTGTCAGCTTAATGTGGGAGGAAAGCCCGAAGTGATGCAAGTCTCAGACGTTTACCACTACAGAGAAACCCACGAGCACGGGTATGGTGCTGACAAACCTAGAAACATAATCGGGGCGAACTGTGATTCGAACCCACAATCATAGGTTTCTGGCATGCCCAAGGGACGCAACTCTGCACAGCGAATCGCGGCGCCTTAAACGACTGAGCCACCCTTGCCCCCCCGAACCTCTCGAACAAATTGGCTTGTATGTGAAAGTTTGCCCTCATTGGTACAGCAGTTTCTCAGCACAGGTTGTTCGCGATGAACGATGCACAATAGACAACAGAAAACTACTACCAGGCCACAACATAAGCTCATTAGACCATTGTAGACTTTCAGTCAGGTGAGCTAAAAACTTAATTAACTACTGCGTGTACAATATTGTTGTTGCACAGTAACAAGCAGTTTTCTCCACAGCGAATGTTTATTTACATGTCCTGACTTCTTGTGTATCAAAACTTTAAACTCTTAAGTTGATTTTATGGTGCAACTGCACTAAACCAGTACCAGGCATGCACCACTGATCATGATATAGTTGTGGGGTCACATGGAACTCTCCATGCAGGTTGTTACTTGTTCACTGCTGAGTGAGTGACTTGAATTTGGAATCGAACGCCATCCATGCAGCTGTTCCATTCATATGTGGTTAGTCGATTTGAAACCACTGATTAACATATCAAAATCAAGGATTTATTTAATTCATGGTAGAACTGAGCTTCATGCTTTATCTATAGGCATGTGATTGAAGAAATACCATTAAGATTTGTCTTCCTTCCTGAAAAAGGCAAAACAGGAACGTCACAATCAAAAAGATCTAAATGACGAAATTCAAACTTTAGATGGAAATATCATGTCTGTATCTGCATCTTACAAGGAGTTTTAGACAAACACAATACCTGCTTTTAGAGAAAACAAGGTTTCGGATCTGTTAAATCTATTATCCAGGCAAATGTTTCTTGAAAATTCCATTGAAATAATTGTAACACTTACACATGACTGAAGAGAGAGACATGTTCCCTACATTCAGCCCGCTTCTCTGTCAGGTGGTTCTTCCAGTCTTCAAACACAAACAGCTCATGTTCTGAAATAACAATAACTTCTCTATACAAGTACATGATGTATGATACTACAATTGTAGATATAATTATTTGAACACACCTACCGACAATACTAAAATAAGTACAATTCTATGAATATTATCTTACGGGTTTATGTGGCCGTTAAATCGGCTGTTTCAATCAAAGGGGGTTTATTGTTATTCAATCACCTCTGACTGATCAATCAGAATCGAGTAATTTCCAAATTCATGGTAGAGTAATGGTTTTATGCTGCTTGTAGCAATATTCCTACGCTATCATGGGGTTTCACACATTGTACCCATGTTGGTTATCAAACCCAGGCCTTTGGCGTGACGAGTGAACGCCTGAAACCACCAGGTTTCCTCCCTGTCCCATCCTCGTACTGGCTTGAAATGGGAAGGGTAGAAAGTAGGCTTTGACATAGGCTATTGGACACTCTTGCCTTGAGAAAACGCTGTTATGGGTAATATTTCAAAGTTAATATTACATAAGACCATGTTGATGTATGTCAACAAAGGTCAAGGAAATGAATGGATGAGTGAGTGAGTGTGTTGTGTATAACGTAGCTTTTACCAGTATTCCAGTTATATCACGGCATGTCAGCTTGAGGAAAGCCTGAAGTGCTGCAGGTCTCAGACATTTACCACTTCAGTGAAACCCACGGGCATGGGTATGATGCTGACAAACTTAGAAACATAATCGGGCAAACCGAGATTCATCTTGAGAAAAAAAAGACAACTTGATCAACACTCAGAAAAATGGAATATCTTTCCCCAAAGAATTAATGTGGTACAACTACATTCTCCACTCAAGTAGAGTTAATCTGAACTTAATATAGATTGTGGTTTTAACCATGTTGATGAAACAAAGCTGCAAAAGATTGTGAACAGACACCAAATTTCAGGGTACAAGAAAAGAAGCATTTAACTACAAATTTGCCAGGGCCCCATTCCACAAAGCTCAGCGCCATGACTGTCGTAAGCCTATGTTATGGGAGTTACGATCACCTTAGCGCTACGATCACTTTGTGGAACAGGGTCCTGATCTGTAGTGCTATGTCACTTACTGTCTTGAATTAGCTGCTTGACTTCTCTTGAATAGTCTGAGAGTTTCCTGAAATGAACAAACACCATGAAATTATGAGCCAGTCAGCAAGGTCCCAGCTTAGGCATCGTGGATTGTCTTGATTAGGCAAACCAATGGTTGACATAATGAGAATCAATCAGTCAACAACTCACTCATCAAACCATTCCATGGTCACATGTCTATGATCACAGACGATGAACAGATAAATTGTTAACATCCACTTCCAAGGATAAACTAATGCTGCTGAGTGAATGTTATTACACTCTCATTAAGATCATCAGATCTTTTACTCCGACACGATAACCCTTTGAATGAAGATCTGAGGACACCGCCTTAGGAAATCTTATCAGGTGAACTTTTTTATCAGCCAACCAGAATCAAGGCCTCCAAATTCTCAGTACGAGTGGTGAATCAGTCAGACAAGCATTCTGTAAATCTTGAAATTAATGCGAGCAGTGAGTTATCACTGCTGGGGTCAAGAGTTCTACCCATTTGTGTAAAACTAGGCATCATTGACCACTCCAGCAGTCCAGACAGACGCCACCCAAGCAACACTTTGTCAAAGGCCCACACAACCCAACACGTTCTGATAGGCTTCATCACACTCCTCAGATCTACAGTGAGTGAGTGAGTGAGTGAGTATGGCTTTACGCCGCTTTTAGCGATATTCCAGCAATATCACGACGGGGGACACCAGAAATGGGCTTCACACATTGTACCCATGTCGGAAATCGAACCCGGGTCTTCGGCGTGACGAGCGAACGCTTTAACCATGAGGCTACCCGACCGCCCCTTCAGATCTACAGCCTTTGTCTTGCTATCAGCCTTCAAGTTTGTTGACACCTTCTCCGCATACCAATCAGTGAACTGTTGTTGGTTCAATTTATTTTATTGCATTTGAACAGCCTTAATGCCAGTCAACAGAATAAACATGTAAACTGTGTGTTGTTTTTAGGAAAACACTGTAAATAGTTTTAAAGGAAGTTCTCTAATGAGCTCCAATGAGCTCTAATGAGCCCTAATAAGCGGTGCTATTTGCTGTTCGATTTGATTAATGTAAGGCTGGATTAAGGTAGGGATATGTATCATTTGACTGTATTGTGTGTCATCATACCGAGAGATTGTGGTTCTTTTCTCCAGTCACATGATTAATGGATTCAACTCTCTGAATGAAGATCTTAGGACACTTCCATTGGAAGGTGGACTTTTTAATCAGCCAATCAGCATCGAAGCCTTGAAATTCTCAGTTTGAGACTGGTGAAGTCAGACGTGCATATTCGATTTTGACACACAATACAGTCACATGATTAATGGATATCCAATGAAGTCTCTTTTACAACATGCATAAGGTACTGAGGACCCTCCTGACACAATAGTACTCACACTTCTGTGATGTCATCAATGCCAAAATAGAGTTTGAGAGTCAGGATGATGTACGCCATAGCAAGGCCATCGAAGAAGGGGAGACCTGCAGTTGCTCCTTTAGCTTTGGGGGAGAAATGGCACTGTGGGGGGTGCTGGGAAACAACAGACATCACTAGCCCATGGAACTCTCCTGAAACAGTGAGTGAGTGAGTGAGTGAGTATGGTTTTACACCGCTTTTAGCAATATTCCAGCAATATCACGGTGGGGGACACCAGAAATGGGCTTCACACATTGTACCCATGTCAGGAATCGAACCCGGGTCTTTGGCGTGACGAGCGAACGCTTTAACCATTAGGCTACCCCGACTGCCCCTCCTGAAACAGAGAGATGGTCAGGTCACCAGTGTGTACGCTCACAAAACGCTTCTTCTTCATCCTGTGTTGGAGTAAAATCTCCAACAGGGCACTTCCAATTTTCCTGATATTGCACTTAGTAGCCTGAACTAATCTGAACCATCTCAAAGGTTTGTTGTTGTTGTTTTTTAAAGCAAAATGTTTTGTTGATTAATGTTGATAATTTGCTATACGGATGGTGAGTAAGGTTTTACGCCGCTGTTAGCAATATTCCACCAATATCACGGCGGGAGACACCAGAAATGGGCTTCACACATTGTACCAATGTCGGGAATCGAACCCGGGTCTTCAGTGTGATGAGCGAACGCTTTAACCACTAGGCTACCCGACCGCCCCTATACTGATGGAAAGAAATAAGGGAACAGTCATTGAGGGAAGCAGGATATTTTTTATTTAATCCAAAGAGATTGTCTGACACTAACAGAGTGTGTGGTCATTTACACATTTATTCCACTCAGTGACTAAGTTTGTTGAAATGAAACAATTGTATTGAGAACAGCAGCAAATCTTATTTTGTTCTATTGCAAGGAGTTCCTTTAGAATGTTGTCTAATATGTAATAATCATTTGGGTGACAGTTTTGATTCTCCAATTATTAATATCTAACATATTTTATATGAAATGGTTATCCTGCATTACGTATTGCATTCCTTCTCGGCAAATAGTTTAGACCGTCACTAAAGGTATGACGTTCTCAGTCATGTTTCCGACGTGACACAGAAGGGAATGCAATACGTAAGGTATGATCAGACAACGATTAGATCATATTTGAACATAAGACTTTTTTGTTTGTTGTTTAACGCTGCATTCAGCAATATTCCAGCTATACAATGGCAGTCTGTAAATAATCAAGTCTGGACCAGACAATCAAGTGATTGACACCATGAGAATCGATCTACGCAGTTGGGATACGATGACATGCATCAACCAAGTCAGCGACCCGACCACCTGATCCCGTTAGTCGCCCCTAATGACAAGCATGTTGAAGATAAGAACAGACTCATGCCAAGAGGAGTCATGATGCTTCTGTATGGGAATTACAGACAATTTTTTTATCATTGTTTACTTATAAGTGTAAGTACTACTGTTACGACAGGCTTGGTGCTATGACCTGCTTAACAGGTACAACGACAGGCTTGGTGCTATGACCTGCTTACCAGGTACGACAGATTCTAAGACCATGACTGGACCTGTGCTCATAGGCCGATCTAGAGGGGGATTCCAGGGAGTCCAGACACCCCCTATCCCCCTTTCGAAAACCAAATGCAGTATGTTGTAGGCAGTAAAATGATCTGAGAGAGGATTTTCATATTTTGTAACCCCCCTTTAAAAATGCTGGATCCGCCCTTGCCTATGGTGATGTGGGAACTGTTACCGGGTAACACTCACCGGGGAGATCCAGCATCAGGATGTATTTGCTGATCAGCTGACTGACTGGTACCTCCGGCAGGTTGCCGATACCAAGGAAGTGAGCCATGTTACCTGTCAGGTACCTCAAGGCATGAGGCTTAGGTATTTCCTGAAAGCCACAATGACATGAGTGTGTGAAACAACATGCTAGATGTCTGCATATAATTCACGAAACAATTTGCATTTGGTACTCATGTCATATTTGTTGCAAACACTCACCAAATGATATATTTACATAGTACTACTCCAAAAAAGTTAAAGAACACAAATTTTTCATATGACTATAGTTAGTCTTTCAAGGCTGGTGGGTACTGCAACACACAGCCTTCCTGTTGTGGGTGTTCTGTAACCTGTTTTGAGTAGTATACGTATTTCTTATGTTTGTATGCTAAAAGGTGAGGTGAAATTGGGTTTAACGTCGCATCCAAGATTATTGCACTTATATAGCGACGTGCATGCACGTGTGTGTGGCTGCTTGTACTAGACCGGACTGATGCCGATTTATAGTGCTAGCCCACTGAGATACCATGCTGTAGTTTAACATGAATACCTCACTCAGACACAGTATACTGACTCTGAGCCGACCAGTCCTTGCTTTAACCCCTTAATACCGAACGCCAGACAGGGTAACACCAAGTACCATCTTTTAACGGCTTTTGGTATGACGCGGCCGGGGATCGAACCCGGACCTTCCGCTCTCCAGGCGGACGCTCTACCACTAGACACGGAGGCGGTATTGTATGCTACAAAAAGAGGGGCACACACCCTGTAGCCTCAGAGTGAATGTAGCTTCAGCTGCAGCCAGCAATTTTCAAACCACACCATGGCAGCCTGTAAATAACCAGGGATAGGCACACGAGTGGTTGACTGCATTAACAACAAAGTGTGAAAGTATTTGACCAGCACTCAAACATCTCCAAGCTACCTCACTGCCAAAGTGGGAAGGGTGATGGAAAATGTAACAGTTCACTCGTACAGTGATGTATGCCTATACATTAGTCAGCGACTACATATTCAACAGGTATCTGACTGCTCATTCAGAAGTTTCAAATCACAATAACTACCTGATAGAAACATCAGATTTGACGTCGGCTTCACAGCGAAAGCTGATATTTATAGAAAAGTATTTCCTTCTCAGTCATTGTCGGAAGGCATTTATAAATAATTCATGTACAGTCATAAATCCGATAGACAACCACTAAAATCATTGGACTCGGTCCATGCTAGTTCACACGGTATGTTAGGTAATACCAAGAGCAAACATTTGATTTTGTCATGGTAGAAAGGAGATAAACATACTGTGTTTTCAATGAAGAGCTAGGTTATCTGTAGATTTATTTAACCAAGCAAAATTTAACATTTGAAACCAAACGCAGAGAGCGCTGTTAATTCTAAAGGTAACATAGCTCAACACTGAAAACACAGTGTGTTTATCGCCTGATTACTGCATTTTGTTCATCCCACCTTGAGAAATAAAGGCAAAAAGCCCACTGACTTCAGCTTATCTGTCTGGGAAAAGATATTTCACTGCTTTATCCTATTCATTTTTTCATCAAGTAAGTATATGCGAGTTCAGCAAGTTCTAACTACTTACAGCAAGAAAGAGCTGCGGGTCGTAACTGCCATACTGGAACTCTTCAGGAAGGAGTGTGGTCACCTCAGTGTACGGGATCTCCCCTGCCTCCACCAACCTGCCACATAAACCATGGGGCACACATTGTGGGGACGCTGAACAAAGTTGTGATTCTAAACTGGTCAGAGACTAGTAAACTTCAGGAAGGACTAGTGACATTTCTTTGTGGACTACCACTTTAACTATTAAACAGATGGCAACTTTAAAGCAGATCATTTTGGGGGCTAGTGCAAACAAAACTTAATTTCTGACCCTGGTACGAAACAGTATTGATGCTAAAAGGGCTAGGCATAGTTTTGCTAATTATACGATCATGTGTAATTACAGAATACCTATCCGTGAGCATTTAATTAACATGTGCAACATCCGCATTGTTACACTGAATGGAAATGTACCGTATTACGATGAAAGATTTACCGCTTATTACATAATACAGAATCGTAATTTTGAGCATATATTAAATCCACATAATTATAAATATATATGTAGATGTTAGTAGTGGGCCCAGTCAAGGATACTCTCATTCATCATGTTTTCCAAGGGTATATTGCAATACTAGACGTTTAAGTTTTACCATACAAATGACACATTACAAGTAACATTGGGTCAAAAACAAAGTGCATAATAACACAATCTGTTCCAACAACCAGCTTATGCATATTATCTAGCAGCAGTAGAAACTAAAAATTTTAGCTCACTAGTCCTTATAATGATAACACATAGCAAACCCTTAAAAATGGTAAATTTCTACTAGTCCTTATGATACCTTAACTATTGGGCATTTTGGCAAGGAATACAGGACTAGTGCCAATTTCTAACGCTGTCTAGTATTTCCTGATTGGTCATGAACAGCATAACATATGTTTCTGCCCTACAATATCCCATCTTCAATCTCTGAATTTAAAAACTAAAGAATCAGGGTCGTTATTCACCTGCAAAAAGAAAGAATATCAACAACAAAAGCGCTGTATTGGGAAACAAATCTCCCTGCACTCATAGTATTGGGAAATGTATCATATCGTGCCCCACTATATCGTTACACCTCCAGTATACCAGACTTAAATCAAACAAAATCTTAACTTAACCAACTTTAAAAAGGAAGCAAATGCATCTACTATCAAAGAAAAGAGGATACCCATCCGAGATTCTAAAGATTTATAACAGTTATGCAAGTAATTGTTCAGATACAGTCATAGTTTGTCAGATCAGAATAAAGCATCCTAAAACTGCAAACACAATTTGGTAACCTAGTCTCCCACCTGACAATATCGGCTGCTGTTGTTATGCTGTTGGTATAAAGAAGGCCTAGCTGACACAGCGACAGCAGCTTGGGGAGATTCAACCACTCCATTTGTAGGGCCATCATTCGGTTCAGCGACGACTTGGTCTGGTGGAGTTATCAGTCGGCAATATTACTCACAATCAGCAATAATACACATATATCACAGTCAGCAACATATATAACATGGTCAGTGACATTACTGATATATCACAGTAATATTACAGATATATATCACAGTCAGTAATATTACAGATATATAACAGTCCGTAATATTACAGATATATTACAGTCAGCAATATTACAGATATATCAGTCAGTAATATTACAGATTTATCACAGTCAGCAATAGTACAGATATATATCAGTCGGCATTATTACAGATATATCACATTCAGCAATATTACAGATATATCAGTCAGCAATATTAGATACATCACAGTAATATTACAGATATATCACAGTAAGTAATATTACAGATCTATATAACAGTCAGTTATATTACAGATATATCATAGTCTGTAATATTACAGATATATCACATTCAGCAATATTACAGATATATCAGTCAGCAATATTAGATACATCACAGTAATATTACAGATATATCACAGTAAGTAATATTACAGATCTATATAACAGTCAGTTATATTACAGATATATCATAGTCTGTAATATTACAGATATATAACAGTCAGCAATATTACAGATATATCAGTCAGTTATATTACAGGTATATCAGTAAGTTATATTACAGATATATCACAGTTAGTAATATTACAGATACATCACAGTCAGCAACAGATATAACACAGTCAGAAATATAACAGATTTATCAGTCAGCAATAATACAGCAATATTACAGATATATCAGTCAGTAATATTACAGATATATCAGTCAGCAATATTACAGATATATCACAGCATACTCCAGCCTCAACAGAGAGGAGGCCATCTAGAATTTAAAGGCTATGAAGTTTTAGAAAATAAATACTTAACAGATATGTACGTAGGCAAAGTGATTACAACTACATTTAAAAACTGTTCTGAGAAATTTTCTTGTGAAAACTAGCTGAACATTTAAGATCCCAAATGAAATGATGGATTGGTCGGTTACCAGAAACTCAACCACTTCTTATAAGGCCTAATGATAAAGGATGAGTACCTTCAAGATGAAGCTATCATCAAACATAGACACATCAGACAGGTCATCCGGGTCCTTCTCTCGGACTTTGTCAGCTGATTTAGGATACATTTCCTCCACATCCTCTTCCGACTCCGAGCTGGGGTACCTGTCCACCTCATCAGGAACCTGGGTGGGGTCGTCCCCCTCGTAGAATTCCTCACCTTCTACTGAGGCTGGGTTGATGGCATCCACTACCTGTGACATGTCAGCAATGTGGTTCTGAAGTCGTCTCTACATCATCCCCATCAAAGAGTAAGAAAATGTACAACCTCATGGCTAACAACTTCTGGTTAATTGCATTTAGATTGATTCTTACACCACCAACAACCAATTGATCATCACAACATGTCATGCACATATACCTCTCATCACTTGGTTGTTGTCACTTCAGCTTGTTAACGGTGTAAGAATGTACATCAACACGTCGCTATATGCAATAAACCAGAAGTTGTTATCCATAGGGATGTACGTTTCTTACTTACTCACCAACTTCTAGAATGCCAATAAAACACCCATCAAATAAGTCAGGTGACAGACACGTTATCATAATATTTCAGTGTTTGAAATAAATAGGGGACATGGGGGTCTTCTTCTATTGTATTTGAATCTAGGGACCGTATAAATATTTAACTTTTGACATTAAATTTATCATAAGGACACCTTGACTTCCATGCTGAATTTCAAACACTGTATGTGTTTAAGTTTGTAAACTCATCATAAAACTACTTTTCCACCTCTCAGTCAGTATTACATTTTACACATATAAGCAGTCAAGGTTTCACGGTTTCATCAAATCGAAGTACACATCATATGACCATAGTATCTACCCTGTTGGGGTTCCTCTTCTTGTGCATCCTGATATTCCTCACAGCTGGAACAATGGGGTTCTCCAGGGTACCATAGTACTTCTCCCTACGACAAAACAAATCCTGCACTTACTCAACAGGTGAGGTGGGTGCACTTATATAGCGACTAGCACAAACTTATCATTTTGGGTGTTTCCAGAAGTGTTTCTCCTTAAACACAGGCTACAAGCTCACTAGACTGGAAGAAGCTAAACAAGGGCTCCCACTAAACAGAAGTCACAGACTGCATGAATACAGCTCAGAAACTGATTAAATGTTTATGATTTTCTTTTTCATCTTCCTTAACTCTTTATCTTTTCAGAGATTCCTTCCACAGCACCCCATGTGTGTAGCAAGAGCTGACATCTGCAGAATGTATGGCCACAGTGCATGTCCGAACCAATTATAAGAAAGACTGACTACAGGATCAGTGACAGGTTTGTCGGGTCTGGATAAAAACAAGGTGCATACAATTCTGTTAGGGGTTAATCCCTTATAACAACACAAACATCTTCAAAAGCTAGCTGCATGTCAATTTGGCAAGAATACAACAGTAACAGTGACTCACTCACTCGATCACTTTCACTCACACTCACACTCACACTCACACTCACACTCACACTCACACTCACCTATGTCTGACATGTTTCCTGAGGGCTTCTGGGTAGATGTGTTCATCCTCGGAAAAGGCCACCTTGAGTTTGGAGAGGTAAACAGCCCATAACCGGAACACAAACTCCTGAAATGTAACATTATTCCATCATCTCCAGCCTAAATCTGTTTTTGTCATGTCCGGTCTGGGTATGACGTATTTACTAACATCAGCATGATCAGCTCGCACAGCACTCGCTCTCCAGCTTTCATTGATGCAACATGCATTTTGATATTGTCACTTCTCTGCCATTCTTTACACCCGCACACCAACCCTGTTATCCAGAATTATTTATTTATTCATGCTTTGCAGTTGTCAATATGGCAGAACTTCACAGTAAGTCTGTACATAATGTTGTCTTCATGAATAAAATGTTATTGACGGGTTGGGTGCTAGTGGACTGCTGTACAAGTTACATTTGGTATCTTGGGAAACATCACGATATATAAGATAGGGTTGGGATTTAAACCCATGATCACAGGTTTCTGGTGTGCCCAAGGGAAGCAACTCTGCACAGTGAATTGCACCATAACAACCCATCAATGCATATACAATGATATACTCATACCTCCAGTTTTGGATGTGCCCCTTTTCTGATGAAGGCCTGAACCTGGTGTTTGAGGATTATCTGATAGGCTTCGTAGATAGTCCATGGTCTGCCCTTGTATTCTGACAAGATAAACATTAATCTTACACAAAATTATGATTCTCTGTTGTTCAACTCGTCATGCGGCAATATTTCCTCTATAATAATGGTGGCCTGTAAATAATCAAGTCTGGATCTGACAAACCAGTGATTGACATAATGGCATGTTCTGGGCAACAATCCACACCAAGTCATAGAGCTTGACCAATCCATTAAATCACATCATTCAATCAGCACAGGTTGCAAGGAACAAAATCTAACCAAGAATACCTGTTGGGGGCCTATTTTAACCTGTAACTCCTGAAAAAAGGACCTATTCTAAACCTTATTCCAGATGGGGACCGATTCTAACCCCGAATCTGTGAAGGGGACCTATTCTAACCCCAAATCTCTGAAGGGGACCTATTCTAACCCCGTATCTCTGAAGGGGACCTATTCTAACCCCGAATCTCTGAAGGGGACCTATTCTAAACCAGAATCCCAAAAGGGGACCTATTCTAACCCCGAATCCCAGAAGGGGACTTTTTCTAGCCTGGAATCCCAGATGGGGACCTATTCTAATGCAGAATCCCAGATGGGTACCTATTCTAACACGGAATCCTGGAAAGGGACCTTTTCTAAGCAGGAATCCCAGGAGGGGACCTTTTCTAACCGGGACATGTCAAATATCTTCCTACAGTACCCTGTATGTAAATAAACCCTGTGGGGCTCGGGGGCAGAATAGGTCCCTAGTGCCCCATGCTTGTTGTAGGAGGATGGTAAAAATGTTGTGATGGCTGTATGTACCATATTTCCTCAGTTAAATGCCCAATTAATATATTTACCCCAAACGTTTAATTGCAGAGATAGTAATGGGGAGAATTCAGTACATAATAACATTTTATCGAGATCCCTGGGGTTTCACTATATAATACAAGGAGATCAACAGAATTGCTCAATCATGCCCTTATTACAGCATGGTATTGACACTATGGTGTTGTTCGTTTGTTTGTTTGTTTGTTTGTTTGGTACAACAGCATGGGTCACTGAAGACCAATTGTAACCTGAATTTGTTTGTTTGTTTGTTTGTTTCTTATGACAGCATTGGTTACTGAAGACCAATTTTAACCTAAATCTTCACGGGTGCTAGAGCTAGTCCATCCTGTTTTGTCCCAGGTATCATGTTGTAAACATATCATGGGTACTCATGTGATATCCTTGTATTCCCTTGTCTGTACCTTCAGGTTTGTCGACCTTCACCTTGGCCTGCTTGATCCGCCGTCTGTGGTCTACAATAGGCTGTCCCGTGTCAACGTTCTCTTCAAACTCATCTTCTTCGACTATCAAGTCCTGCAGCAGTAATACAGAGTTACAGTGGGGGAATAGATATGTTCATGCTTTATGGAGTGACTGGGAAACAAATCGGGATTTGAACCCACAATCATAGGTTTCTGGCATGCCCAAGGGACCCAACTCTGCACAGCAAAGTGTGGCGCCATAGACACAAGGGCACCCCTGCTTGATGGGAGTCAACAGTCGATGAATTTTTGTGGCAAGTCAAATACACATTTAACAAAATTAGTTCATGACATTTTTTCAATTTGTTGACAACATTCAATCAAAACTAATGAAAGATCAAAGTGCCTCTTGAATATCAATACTTTGATAAAAGTGATACAATACTAAATGCTATGCCAGTAATAGTATGTATACCATACCAATGTGTTCTACATGGTCAGTATCATTTTTATTCTTCACCCACGGGTGTCACATAAAATAACTGTCATCAAATCTTTTCCTTTTTCGTGTGTCTTGCTTTAGATTTTGAGCACACAAATGCCTCCATTATCATGATTACATGAAAACAAAATTCAAGTATTATAACATTTTTCAAATTTCAGGAATGGAACTTAAATATTACGATTTTCAGAACTTTTATTCATAAGAGACCAAATAATGATAAAGCTTCCTTTCATCTTTAAGTAACAGCCATAATAATGTACCTGAGTCTGAGTTTGGCAGGTGGTGCAGTAGAACAGCCCGTCTCTCTCCTCAAAGTCCTCCAACCCACACACCACACACTGAGGCATTGTACATTGGGACCACACTCAAGTTAGGTTCACCATGTTTCCTGAAAAACAAGGGTTTTTTGGCCTTTATCTTATCAACTTTGAAATCATTACATAAATGACTATCATGGATTAATTCCCATAGAAGAAAAAATCCAAGCATCTTAAGTAATTTTGAATGGAAACATCGTAAATACATGAACTACTCCTTGTGAATTGTATCATCTAGTTCATAAATGTTGAAACATGCAAGACTGAAGTGAATTACAGACATTGAGCAGCAAACTTCAGACCAATCAGATTTGTTTGTCTGCTTGTTGTTTAACACTGCACTCAGCAAATATATATTCCAGCTATATGATGGCGGTCTGTTAATATTCTAGCCTGGGCCAAACGATCCAGTGATGGACAGAGCTCCAGATAACTTTTTGAGCAATTGAGTTTTTATTCTAGGGTTTCTATTTTAATTGGGTTATAACATTTTTCACTGGGTAACCAATATTATTTCACTCATCCATTCATCATTCTATTGGGTTTTTCCCAAAATTAGTTAACATTTTAAGATATTAAAAAAATGAAATAATGTTTTAGATGTATATAACTGTTGTGAATATATAGGCTTGACTCAGAAAGTTAATTAGCTCATAATTGTGTTTCGGAAATTAGCTCCATTGTACGCATCCTGAAAAAGCTTTATTGGGTATTTACATGTGCTGTTTTTATACATTGAGTTTTTCCTTTATTGCATACATTTTTGTACGCAATATAATTGAAAGTAATTGGGTTTTGAATATTTTGGGGATTTTACGCAAATACACAGCTTATCAGTAGCTCTGGATGGACATCATAGTCATCAATCCACATAATTGGAATACTATGACATGCATCAACCAATTCAGCGAGCCTGACCTCCAATCCTGTGTGTCGCCTCTTACGACAAGCATAGTCGCCTTTTACGGCAAGCATGGGTTGCTGAAGACCTATTCTACCCAGATCTTCACGGGTCATTGATATAATGAGTACGGTCCCACGCAGTCGGTTTACAAGTGTTGAGTGATTAACCAAGTCATCAAGGATGACCAATCACCTCTTTAACAAGCAATAGCAAGACTGTTGGAGACCTATTCCAACCTAGTGCTCATTTTATTATTGTCATATTCTTTATTAGGTTGGTACACTTGCATTATACCTGACACAAGTTGACTACATTTGTTTGATATTTCTAATACAGGGGCACACAACAAGACAGACTTGTGTGACAGGGCCGTCCAAGTCAAAACCTGGCGTGACAAGACCGTCCAAGTCAAAACCAGGCGTGACAAGACCGTCCAAGTCAAAACCAGGCGTGACAAGACCGTCCAAGTCAAAACCAGGCAATCTGGTACCTTAAAAATTGTTTGCGACATCCTGGTTTTCAATGAAAATACTGTGTAATAATAAATAAAGTACTGTAGATCTACATATTTTTTCATTCGTTCATAATGTTGACAAGTTGTTATTGTACCGGTGATATTTTTTCGTTCGTTCGTCAAGTTGACAAGTTATTATTGTAGCGGTGTTGATTGACTGATGACGTCATGATATGGTGTTGAAAGACGGATAACGAGATGATGAATGAATCCTTGTAGTAGTTAGGCGAGTTACATGGTGCCTCAGCTCCCAGTTAGGACGCTGGTAGTAACAAGGATTTCACCACAGCAACAAATATTTTCTAAAACGACTAGAGGACACCTATCTCAGAACATAATGCTTCAATAAATATCCCTGAACTTACTTTTCCAAACGTATGTTTAGGACGCTACGTCAAAACACTGACATGTGCGTCTAACACCGGAAGTTCGTACATTACCCATAGTTCGACGCCCATCATGGCGGCGCCCATGGTGTTTTGGGTTGCATGAGAAAGAAATCATTTACAACACGTTATAAATTCATTCGTGTAGAGAAGTTTGAAAGAAATATAATAATTGACACCTGTGGGTGTTTATTGTAACCCGGAAGATGGAAATTCGCAGCTTGTTGGAACTCAACAGGTGAGAATATTGTGTTGATATTTGGGACAATCTCAGTCCAGGGTCTCTCACTAATGTACGTAACATAGGTGAAAAACCTAAGGGCGAACGCAACAGGAAATGGAGAATGCTACACGAGTAGGTTATGTAGGACTGGGCAACCATCAATTTATGACAATGCAAAATATTTGCAAATATGAGGTTAAGTTTCAAGATATGTTTCAGCCAAGCCTAGAAAGAAAAGGAATTCAGTGACCATGTCAGAAAACAACACAGTATCACTAAACACCATGGTCATCAAAATATAATTAAATGTAGGGATTTGCATTTTATCACTAGTTTGTTTTCATTCAGCCTCTTTTTGTATTGTCAATATGAGTATTTGCATCAGAAAAAATAACTTTATGATAATAAACATGATAATCAGTGATAATGGGATCTAAGTGCAAAGTCAAAAATGAATATAGGTGGAAGAACTGGAGAAAAAATGTCAGAATGGTAATGGAGTCAGTGAGTGAGTTTGGTTTTACGCCGCTTTTAGCAATATTCCAGAAATATGGCTTTTCACCAGAAATGGGCTTCACACATTGTACCCATGTCGGGAATCGAACCCGGGTCTTCGGCGTGACGAGCGAACGCTTTAACCACTAGGCTACCCGACCGCCCCTTATGGTAATGTGGAAGATCGGACAAGATATGAAAAGGATGATTATATCTGGTGAACTTGTAGTTATTCTCATTTCTTTTATTTATGCTATTTTCAGATTCTTGCTGTTTTGGAACAAATAAATAAGACATACAAAATTGTGGAAACATTTTTATTGCTGGTGATGATATTTCCAATTGTTCACTCTCTGTTACTAGAGTTTCATAAAGAGGAGAACAGATGCAGTTGCAGTGTGCAGAAAACTAGACACATAATCATGATAATTGTTTTTGCATAATAATGGTAATAGAAGCCACTGTAATTGTGGTGGCCAGTGGACCTTTTCAATAGTCATGATTTTCATATTCAAACAACATCAGCAGTGAGAGCATATCAGATGGTGCCAACAAGAGCCTACAAAAATAAAATCCAGATAGTTAAAATCAGTGTGACAAAATTAATGTATTGAACTTGTGAACATGGTGAAATAGTGTGTAGCGCTTGGCAATCTGTCATAATTATTTATTGAAAAATCTAAACATCACTCTTACAGTCCAATCACTAAGGTTATAGAGATGATGTATCAGTGTGAAGAGTTTACACACACTCCATGTCCCCAGCAACCTTGTTGCTAGATTGACATCACACAGCTTTTGTTTGCAGGTGTGCATGCAGCCAATTTTTAACAAATTATGTCATAGGATTTGTGGAGCCTTTAGTATGACTGGCACGCTCCAGCGCAGTGATTACATTACATGTTTCATTACTATCCATGATCGAAAAAAATACACATATGCATCAACATTCATGAATTCATTTTTTTTTATCATTCAGAAAGTTAGTTCTGTAACCATGTGGCCCTATGTACCACATGACCAGAAAGCAAGGTTGTAATGTTGTAGAGTACCGGTTTACGTGGTATATAGTCTGACAATCTGTAAGTACTCTTTAAACCTAGGAAATGTGTCATTTGTCCTATATCATTATATGCACATACATGTTACCTTTTGAGCTCAGTGCATTTCCTATGAAGTAACAAGAGATAAACAGCTGATAAACTTAAAACATACATATTCATTTTACCAGTACATAGCTTAACTAAGTTACAGTGTCTAGGATGAATGTGACTGTATTCAAGGTATGTCGCCGTGGTTATTTGACATGCATGAGAAAGACATAATTGGAAGGATTGTGACTTGTCACTAAGGATAGACTAGACTTGGCAAGACATATGCAGTTTAGCGGGCGTAGCCATGTTGCACAAATTGTCTGCGGCTGTCTCTTCACAGACCTTGTGTGCCTCCATAGGGTTGTGGTTATGTTAGGGAAAGGGCTGGCTAAAAAGATGGATAATCCAAATTATCACCAGTGGGAAAAAATATTAACGATTATGAAATTGTGATCAATAATAACTTACAGAAACTATTTTGATGAATTAACGATCAATATGAAATTGTAGTTATCGACAATAACTTACAGAAACTATTTTGATGAAATAAAGTTTAGATTTACCGAAACAGAATTGTTATTGTTAATAATGTCAATTGTCAAAGACAGAAAGCAACTGTGTTTGTTATATCTCAAATGTCAACAAAATAATCTATGTATAAATGTGTCACTGCTCACCAGTGGCGTGGAATATGTTGATTTCTCTCAGGACTTTCTTGCATATTTGCTTAAAGTTCCTTCTCCAAGATTTATCGATAATTGATCAATATTTAGTTAGCAATTATCGATCTCTATAATCAGATCATGATAATCTATATCGATAGTCAGCCCTATTTAGGGATATGCCAACACACACACCCTCCCACTATGCTATACTTAGCATGTGTTTAAAGTTAGAGTTGTCAATCTTGCCTCTTTTAACACATGTTTTGAAAGATAAGTACGTACCATTTTTTCTTTTTCAAGTTTGAAATTTCACATAACAAAGGGACTACATCGTGTTTATCGGGTGTTATTCACAAGGTAAACATTGACTATATACATCATGTTTATGAGATACCAATTGTGGTTCTGTTGTAAAATGTTGGCTAAATAACGATCAACTCCTTTTGTCAAGCCAAGCTTTAAGTTCAATGCAAGTTGAACCTGATTCTACCTCTGTCGCATTAAGTGGGATAAAAAAAAAAGTGCACCTGGTAAAGTGCAGTACTCCAATAGCCTTGATCAACTTCTTACAGACAGGCAGACTTGAAACAAATCTTGAACTGCCATATAACATGCCCAAATTGATATTTGGTTGAAATGGTTTCAATGTACAATGTTGCTGTTCTCAATCAATCAGTCATCAATCTTCAACACTATCTCAGTGGGCTGGCACTGTAAGACCGGCAATAGTCCGGACTAGTATAAGCACACACGTGCACACACACATTGCTGTGTAAGTGCAATAATGTTGAAAGCGACATTCATCCGTCTTGTCTCCCATTTAACCCAGAATCCCTACATGTTTGTACATATTGTAACTGAACACGTTGTCTTCTTGTTTCCAGGTTACCAGATGGGATATCTATGGTGCCAATCATACTATACTTCCCACTAGGGCTAGTTCTGGCAGTCCTGCGGTTCTTCATCTCACTGCATGCTCTCCTCGTGTCCTTCCTTCTCCCCAAAACATGGTTCATAAGAAGGTAAGCAGAAAGAAGTTCAATATTAGTGACGATTTATTTTTCTTTGGTCTTTGGTCCCGAGGTGTACACAAACGTTCAGTTAGTGACACATATGACAAATTCACATTATGTATTCTCGAGTCCAGGTACATGTTTTCAGTGAAATGTTGCTGCGACATTCTCACATCTGCCATGAACCGCCCGTGGGTTTGTATGTAATTATATTGTGTTCAGCCTACAGGGTCAGTTATAAAGGGACAAGGAGATGTTGTCATACGAACATGATGAAACTCTTCTATGTCTGTACTGGCTGGACCTGTGAAGATTCTGGGGTAGAATAGGTCTTCAGCAACCCATGCTTACCGTAAAAGGTGACTATGCTTGTCGTAAAAGGCGACTAACAGGATCGGGTGGTCAGGCTCGCCGACTTGGTTGATGCATGTCAGCAATCCCATTTGCGTGGATTGACGCTCATGATATTAATTACTGGATTGTCTGGTCCAGACTTGATTATTTACAGACCGCCGTTATATAGCTGGAATATTGCTGAGTGCGGCGTTATCCAACCATGCCAACAAACCAACCAACCAACCAACCGCAATGGCTGGTCGATCGACATGTATTGATTTTTACAAGACGGCAACTGGCCAATCAGATTACAAGTAATCCACGACTGGGAATCCTCCTGATTCATAACAACTGACAACCTGGTAGAATTGGAGGGATTTTCTTGTCATATTCCTAGTGTTAAAAGTAGGGCTGGGACGATACACCAACTGTGCGATCCGGTACATTTCACGGTACCTTGCTCACGATGTGATACGTATCACGATACTTGTATGTGCTTTTATCTGTGGTGCGTAAGCCATCTTTTTCATAGACAGGATGATCAAATACCTGGTACACTAACATTTTACAGTTGGCAGTGTCAAGTATTGCGCAATGGATGAAATTATTTACGTTTTCACTACTCATTTTCACTAGTAATTAGCATGATTAGTGTTTGGTGTAGCATTTGTTAAAGAATGCATTTAAGGTAATAATCGATCCTTTTTACTTCGTGTGCACTTGTGATCAATACTTGTATCAAGAAGTAAAAAATAGTGATACATCGGTGTATCGTCTCACTACTTGTTAAAAGTGGTAGGTTCAGGGGTCCCTAGATCCAGATACTATTGAAACAGAGATAAGGGCCCCAGGACCCTCTTGACATGTTTATTTTCAAACACTGAGAATGAGACACCATCTGTATTTACTTCAAGTTTTGATGCAATCTCACTAAAATCAGATCTGAGTTCTCGCTGCCGCTAAACAAAGATCTGAGGACATCCCATTACGGGTCAGAACGACCTTTCGCAAACTTTGACCCACCACTGAAACGACAAACAAGAAGTTGACATCAGCCAATTAGAAAGCAGCTTTCTCGAGCTTTACGGCACTCGTTTCAAACTGGCGACTTCCCTTTCAGACTACGCTTGAAAAATATGTTGACAAAATTCTCGATTAAAATTCTGAAAACTGAATAAAACGAACATTCCGGAATGTCTAATATATGGTTGAGATTGCATGGCAGTGCTTCCCAGGTACTGTGCAACGCCTGGTTGCATGATTAGAAAACACATTCCGACTGTCACTTTCACGATCTGGTAAGCGACGCTTTGATTGGTCAGATGAAAGGTTGTTCTGACGTCACCCGTAATCGGAAGTCCTCAGATCTTTGTTTAGCGATAGCGAGAAGTAAGATCTGATTTTAATGAGATTGAGTTTTGATGTTTTCGTTTATTCCAGTGTTGTCCTGAGGTTTATGTTTGGTGTCGCTGGCATTATAATATCAACAGACGGAGATGAGAATCGGGACAAACGGGCCAGAATCCTGGTCTGTGACCACATTTCACCTCTAGACCATCTGGTCACAAGCTTAGTCGTACCTCATGTCTGTGTAAGTTCAGGCTTCATACAGTTTACAATTGTCATAAACTTAGTCATACCAAATCATGCTTATATCTGTGCAAGTCACCATAACATTAGGGACTGGAGTGTGTGTGTGTGTGTTGGGGGGGGGGGGGGGGGGGGGGTGTACCTGAAAAAAAAATGACAGTCTCTATTTTGACTTCAACATGTTCAAGGGACATTGATTATTAGAGTCATGAAAGAATGTTTCATAAATCGGGGATGGGGTAAACAAATCCAGTCCAAAGACCAATGCCCACCCCATCCCTGCCCTATAATAAGTATAATAAATGACCACTCCCTTCCTTGAATTTTCACATTAAGCCACAACAAATTGATATTATGCTGTCAGAAATAAGGGAGATGTATGTCCCAGTCATTTTAACCCTTCCAAATGCAGAGTTATGTCCCTTTCATGCCACGCGAGCTGAGAATGATTGTTGAGTGCACACTGATCAAGTAACTGGGGTAATAATAGCGCTTTGAGCATGTCCCTGTGAGGTGTGGAAATATGCACAATATAAATGGCTTGTTGTTGTTGTTGTCACTTTGATTATGTCCCTTGGTTCATACTCAGGGGGGGTGGACGCACGGGTGGCCCAGTTGCCTAAGGCGCCGCCATTTGCTGTGCAGTGTTGCGTCCATTGTTCGCCCAGTTTATATTTCTAGGTTTGTCAGCACCATACCCGTGCTCGTGGGTTTCACCGAAGTGGTCTGAGACCTGCATCACTTTGGGCTTTCCTCCCACATTAAGCTGACACGCCGTGATATAACTGGAATACTGTTAAAAGCGGCGTTAAACCCAACTCACTCACTCACTCGTACTCAGGGGTTCACTGAAGGGGTAAATTTCTAAAGTACTCACGGAAATGAAAAAAAAAGTGTTTTTTCGATCTCAGAGTTTAAATAAATGTAGTTAATATACAAAATATATAAATATTTAAACAACTCAATTAGTATTAATTGGGCCTTGGCACAAATACAGCGTATCAAAGGTTTTTATGTCTTTTTACATGTAAAAGTGTGTAAAAATATGAACAAAACAGACTATTGTGAAACTGAGCATAACCAGGTGTTAGTAGATCAAGGTGAATATCCATGACCTATGACACCTTGACGACAAGTGAAAACAGGTGCTTGAAACCCACGTGCATGTGATTTGTCAGTGGTTAGTGATTTGTGAGTGGCATTGTGGGATAGTGAATCATCGTCAAAATATCAGAACATAAAAGTAACATATTCCCTTCTCAAACAACAACTTACATGTCATTATTATTATGTACATAAACATAGCTGTTATTTTTATTGTTGTTTTGATATCTTTTTTCCAGGCTAATTTACATAATGCCTATAGCCTGTTTCTGCCATGTCAATTTGGACTTAGTTTTATTTTTGAATGTTGGAAGTGCCTAGAAATTACCTCCTGTAAAGTACATTTTGTATTGAGCACTGAGATAAAACTAGCAAATCCAGACAAGTACTTTTCCAGTTGTTTTGTTATTTCGTATTTACATCTATGTAATGCTTTGTGTCGATTACTCAATCCAGCAAAACAGTTTTTTTTCATTTCGATGAGTACTTTAGTACCTTCATCACTTTGGGGCTTTCTCCCACATTGAGCGAAGAGGCCATGATGTGACTAAAATGACCTTGTAACAAATAGTTCTTGTTGCCATTCTTCCTCAAGCATGTGGAGCATCATCCACAATTGGTCTTTCTGTTGCAGCTGCTGGACTGGCACTTTTCATCACTGCTGCAGTGGGTCACAGGGTGCCAAGAAATCAGCCCTGATAAAAATAAAGAAGAAGTGGTCAAATATGTAAAATCAATATATAGTGGTAAGGAATACTGCCTACCATGATGAGTTAGAATGGATTAAACACATGATGAAAATATTTAAATCACGGTCAGCCACAACTGATATAAACTATTCAAAAGAAGTTAAAGAACACCAATTCTTTCATATTATAGTATGACTCTATATTATCGCTGGCTCTATATTATCGCAGTAACGATAAATCCCATAATCCACACCCTCTGTCGACTGTTTATTTATGAAAATCTAAGCATGATATTTCATCGCATGAACGAATACAGGACTCATTGCGGTATGTCACGATTACTTGTAAGTATACATGTTAACTTTTTTATGATAGTTTCTGGAATGTTTTTGAAGTAGAATTACCCCTTATTACATTCAAAATTGGTTAGAAAAGAATCCACTTGTTTGGACAATGTCCCTTGACCCAACATAGGTCTTATGTACACTGATTATGCATAATCCAAAAGTGATATAAACCTCATAATCCACACATATCACACCACAAGATATTAAAACCGCGATAACATAGAGTTGCCCGCCCTTGAATCGCTAATGCTAGGTACTTTGTTTACCGAACTCGATAAAGAAAATCAGCATCGATCAATCTGAATTGATATGTCATAAAAGGTGAATAAAGAACAAGAAACATTGTGCGTATGACATATTTAATATGTTAGTAAGCATTCACCATTATGATCCACTACAAATTAACTGCCATGATAATATAGTGTACCATGCTACTATAGTTTATCTGTCATGCTATGAAAGAATCAGGTGTTTTTTAGCTTCTTTTGAGTAGTATATATGCTGATACAATATGTTTTATGTGTTTATGAGGGGGCACGGGTGGCCCAGTCGTCTAAGGCGCCGCAATTCGCTGTGCAGAGTTGCGTCCCTTGGCACGCCAGAAACCTATGATTGTGGGTTCGAATCCTGGTTCGCCCCGATTATGTTTCTAGGTTTGTCGGCACCATACCCGTGCTCGTGGGTTTCACCGAAGTGGTAAACGTCTGAGACCTGCATCACTTGGGGCTTTCCTCCCACATTAAGCTGACACGCCACGATTTGACTGGAATACTGTTAAAAGCCGCGTTAAACCCAACTCACTCAATTATGTGTTTATGAGTCTAAGGGTCCACAAATGATATATCTAAGAAAAAATAATAATAATAATGATAATTCACTAACTCTGATAGCAAGAAAAGTTTCAAGAAGAATTGTAAAATCTGCAAACTATGAGGGATCCCCTAAGTCAGATCGGCAGTTCGATCGGTGATTTGTAGCACTGGTGGGTATGACATTCTATGATTATATCCCATCATTGTGAATTTGTTTGGTCTCTGATCTCTGAGTGTGATGTCGTATAATTCTATCCAATCATTGTGAATCTGTATCGTCTTTTTTTCAGGTACAACGTTGCCCTTATTATTTTTTCCTGAAAAGACCACAACAAGTGGGAAAATAGGTCTTTTAAAATTTTGGTAAGTTTAGTACTCAAGATAACAATACATATATGCTGTAACGGTAATGTGTTGCTATGCAACCTGGAAATGCCAACCTGTTCCATTTTGCTGAAATGTGTGGGAAAATATCATAAAACTGGACACACATTTACGATCAGAAATTGAACCCTGAGTGTATTAGCGCCACGTTTTGACATTCATGTGCTTTTCATGTGACTGAATTATTGAAATGACATCAGCACTGATGGATTATGTCCACATTCCTCCAGAAAACCCTGGGAATTCCCAAGCACGAATTGATACAGATCATTGCTTCTGATCATTTAGGTACTTAAGTCTTGGATTGAAGACATGCACATGCAAACTATCAACGCAATCTGTGCCTAGACTGACCCTGACACCCGACAATGTTCTACAGCAATCTATGACTTCAAAAGGGTCGGTCAGGTAGCCTAGTGGTTAAAGTGTTCGCTCGTCACGCCGAAGACCCGGGTTCGATTCCCGACATGGGTACATTGTGTGAAGCCCATTTCTGGTGTCCCCTGCTGGAATATTGCTGGAATATTGCTAAAAGCGGCATAAAACCATACTCATTCACTCACTCACTATGACTTCAACTCTGTTGAATGATCGGCCAATTGATCAATAATGTCTGACGCTTGTAATAGCTACAGGTTTTTTGACAGCTTCAGAAATCTCCCCGTTGCGTTAAACTCTTCTTAAAAGGTAATGAAGAATTTACTTTCAATTTATGTGAGTTCATTGGAGTTGGAACCTTCATGGAGTGCGAGCCAAATAGTTTGGCCTTCACTCTATGAAGATTCAAACTCCAATGAGCTCACATAATGTGAAAGTCCATTCTTAAATATTGCCGATGTGACGTTAAACTTTAACTCACTCACTCCCATTCTTAAATAAATGTTGCACACATATAAATGTTGATACTCAATTCTCTGTCTATCAACCTGTGGTAGAATAGGTCTTCAGCAACCTATGCTTGCCGTAAAAGGCGACTATGCTTGTCGTAAGTGGCGACTAACGGGATCGGGTGGTCAGGCTTGCTGACTTGGTTGATGCATGTCATTGTATCCCAATTGCGTGGATCGATGTTCATGATGTCAATCACTGGATTGTCTGGTCCAGACTTGATTATTTACAGACCGCCATCACCCAGCTGGAATATTGCTGAGTGCGGCATTAAACCACAAACAAACGAGCTGTATATCATCTCATGGCAATTATGTTTTTTGCAGGTCACTGCCATTTGAATTAGGACACTTAATACAACCTGTGAGTGCTTCCTGTTGAACTTTCCGGGGGTTTTTGCTTGTATGTCTACTGATGATGAAATGAAACCCTACTTTGTGCAACAATGTGCAAGTAACCATGGTAACAACTATCCGAAATTACCACTCTGAAGTAGGTTGGAAGCCAGCTGGGGGAACTAGTTCAGAAAGCTGTGAAAAGGATAAACATGTAGAAAATAATTACAATTTAATTAAAATCATAAAGTGGGCCATGTTTTGCTGAGTGATCATAGTTGTTTAACACTCAGCAGTTTTCAAGCTATATGATGGCAGTCTATAAATAATCCAGTCTGGACCAGACAATCAAGTGATTGACATCATGAGCATCGATCATAGCACGATTTGTCACAACACCCGGGGTTTGATTCCTCCTCAAATGGTGGCACATGGTCCTGTTTACAGTGCACAAGTCACAAATCAGGTGAAGTTAAGCAATGTTAGTGACTTGGTTGATGCATGTCATCGTTCTCAATTGCATAGATCGATGTTCATGATATCAATCACTGGATTGTCTGGTCCAGACTCGATTATTTACAGACCGCCGTCATATAGCTGTAATATTGCTGAGTGTTGTGTTAAACAACAAACAATCTAACCAACCAACCATTAAATGGGTGAAAATCTATTCATCAAAGGCGCTGCAATTCGTTTGGCAGAGTTGTGTCCCTTAGACATGCCAGAAACCTCTGATCGTGGGTTCGAACCCTGGGTAGCCCTGATTATGTTTCTAGGTTTGTCAGCACCATACCCGTGCTCGTGGGTTTCACCAAAGTTTTAAAAGTCTAAAACCTGCATCACCTCAGGCTTTCCTCCAAAATCAAGCTGACACACTGTGATATAACTTGAATACTGTTCAAAGCGCCTTAAACCCAACTCACTCACTATTTTCAACCTTACTGTACAAAATGTTTACTTGTGTTATTATGTCTCTTTGTTTCAGATAACAATTCAAGCAAACAGAATAGATATTTTCAAAGTAAATGTTGTAAGTATCTGATGTCATCTTAACATTTGTTGCGTTTGTTTCAACAGGAGCCTCAATCATATAGCTGGAATATAGCTGAATGTGGCATTAAACAGCAAACAAGGTATAGGCAGAAGTCCAGCCTTGTAGTCTGAGGTCAGGGAATCTGGTGTACAGAGTTGCCACCCTTATCTTCCAGGATCTGACCCTTGAAGATTCCGGGGTAGAATAGGTTTTCAGCAACCCATGTTTGCCGTAAAAGACGACTATGCTTGTTGTAAAAGGCGACTAGCGGGATCGTGTGGTCAGACTCCCTGACTTTGTTGATACATGTGAATGATCCCAATTGCGTGGATCGATGCTCATGATGTCAATCACTGGATTGTCTGGTCAAGACTTGATTATTTACAGACCGCCGTCATATAGCTGGAATATTGCTGAGTGCGGCGTTAAACAACAAACCAACCAACCAATCTTTCAGGATCTGCTGGTATTAAGTCATAATCAAATTTACCCATTTTGAATTTTTCCTTCTGGTGACCTGTAAGTTTGGCTGGCTAAAAAGATTTATAATTGGAATAATCGTTGATGGGAAGAATTATTAACAATTATCGATATGAAACTGTTGCCATCAATAATAACTCACATTAACTGTAGTGATTAAATATAGTTTAGATTTACTGAACAATAACGTCAATAGTCAAAGACGGAAGGCAACTGTTTTTGTTTTATCTCAAATGTCCACAAAGTAATCCATGTGTCACTGCTCACCAGTAGCGTGAAATCTGTTGATTTTTTTCGTGACTTTCTTGCATTTTTGCTTAAAGTTCCTTCTCCAATATTTATCGATAATTGATCGATATTTAGTTAGCAATTATCAATCTTCATGATCTATATCGATAGCTAGCCCTACCTGTAAGTGTCTACAACAGTCACACAAATTGTACATCATGATGTGACCCGTGAAGATCCAGGGTAGAATAGGTCTTCAGCAACCCATGCTTGCCGTAAAAGGTGACTATGCTTGTTGGAAGAGGCGACTAATGGGAATGGGTGGTCAGGCTCACTGACTTGGTTGATGCATGTCATTGATCCAATTGCGTGAATTGATGCTCATGATATCTATCACAGGATTGTCTGGTCCAGACTTGATTATTTACAGACCGCCGTCATATAGCTGGAATATTGCTGAGTGCTGCGTTAAACAACCAACAAAACATCATGATGTTAATTGATGTTAGTATAAAGTGGAGTTCCCAAGATGGCTGTATTATCAGTACCCTGTTTTCTTTATGTTTCGGGGGGCTTGGGTGGCCCAGTCGTCTAAGGCACCGCGATTCGCTGTGCAGAGTTGCGTCCCTTGGGCACGCCAGGAACCTATGATTATGGGTTCGAATCCCGGTTCGCCCCGATTATGTTTCTAGGTTTGTCAGCACCATCCCCGTGCTCGTGGGTTTCACAGAGGTGGTAAAGGTCTGAAACCTTCATCACTTTGGGCTTTCCTCCCACATTAAGCTGACACGCCGCGATATAACTGGAATACTGTTAAAAGCGGCGTTAAACCCAACTCACTCACTCACTCACTCTTTATGTTTCAGTCCACAGTGAAAAGTGCTTGGTGGAGTGACCTTTTCTGGTGCCTTTTTGTTCCATACACAATATTTAAATTACGGTGAGTTGTTTCTGTGGTGTTTACGAGTAGCTAGGTCCTCATGTCAATATTGAACATGGCGTGGCTTCATGGATAGCTGGAATATGGTCAGTATAACTGGTGGCCTTCAGACAATGTTGTGTCACATGGCTGACAGTTGGTGTATGTTTGTGAGTTATTGTTATGTGGTAATGTCACTATAGGCTGCCAATACTAGAATCTGGACAAATGCTGGTTTATTGAATTTCAACAAATCATGCTGTCAGGGAACCTGTTCGTCCCCCAGTAGAGATATGGGTTGCAATAACACAACACAGTTTAGAAACACTGTATTAAGTAACAATACCTCCCAGAAGATCTGGGTTAGAATTGGTCTTCAGCAACGCATGCTTGTTGTAAGAGGTCATTAACAGGATTGGCTGGTCAGGCTTGCTGACGTGGTTGATACATGTCATCATATCCCAACTGCGTAGATTGATGCTCAAAATGTCAATCACTGGATGGTCTTGTTATTTACAGACCGCCTTCGAATAGCTGGAATATTGCTGAGTGCGGCTTTAAACAACAATTGAACGAAACGAACATGTTAGTCAGGTCACACATCTTAATTACAGCAGGCATTATACATCACATGTTCTAACCCTATGGCATAGGCTGTAGCTTGCATTGGATAAGGCAAGATTCACTGAAATATTGGTGCACCGCAATAATAATAATGATTATAATTATCATAATACCTAGCAAGTGGACTTATAAAGTGCAAGCTGTGACAGTGTTCTGTGCTCTACGCATTTGCTTGGGTGGTTGGTTGGTTGTTAAATGCGGCACTCGCAATTTGGATCGATGACATGCATCAGCCAAGTCAGCGAGTCTGACCACTCGATCCCGTTAGTCACCTTTTACGGCAAGCATAGTCACCTTTTACGGCAACCATGGGTTGCTGAAGACCTTTTCTACCCCTGATCTTCACAGGTCCTCTATACATTTGACAGAGGTGGAAACTTAAGGGTAAACAACTTCTTCTGCCACAATATATCATAGCTAAGTAAGGTTGTATTATTATATGAAACAATACACTTCTATATATTGTATATGCCGGTATTAGAAAATAAAATGTAAAATGAGACATTTTTACTGCATGTACAAGAATTCAAGGTCATCGTTATTTAATGTTTTCAATTCATGTTCTGGTTGAAGAATGGATGCCACTTCAGATGAGCGTCATTATGTGTATCTAGAGAAACCTATCACTAAATGTTCCATGGTTAGCATTTGAAACAGTATTGTATTTATTCTGTAAACTCATCTCTTGATAACATGATGGGCGGTGGAGAAGCCTCTAGTTAAAACATTCGCTCGTCACATCGAAGGCCCGGGTTTTATTCCCCACATGGGGACAATGTGTGAAGCCCATTTCTGGTGTCCCTCCGCCCTGATATTGCTGGAATATTACTAAAACTGTAAAACCATACTCACTCCCTTGATAACATGAAAAAACGCTTTGCCATGTGTTCCAGATATTTGCCAGTGACTGAGAAGAAGGAAGCTGAGTTATGTGAAGAGTTTTCGGAAAGAGTCCGACAAAACATGTGTCGAAGTCTGGGTGTCGCAGCTACCTCGTACACCCACTCAGATAAAACCGACTACCTCAAGAGGCAGTCTTACCCCTTGCCAGCTACACCAGTGCCTAATAATAGTAAGTGTGGCAGCATGGTTATCATAATCATCCGAAGTGGAAGGCGGATATAGGAATATGGGGGCTGTCTGTCCTTCCAGCTGTCCCATTTCGTTTCCGGAGCAGAACTAAAAAAACATGAGAGATATCTTAACCAAACTTTACACATAGATAGGCCTAGTGGTAAACCGGTGCCTAGTGATAGTTTGGGATTTTTGAAAAAGGTTTTAGTTTCCATGGCAACGACTTAGACTTCGACTGAGAATGGCAGTAGTGCTCGTTTCCGGAGGGCTAATGCCTTGCACATGTCATATTGGTGGGGGATATGAGTATTTCAAGCTTGTTAGGATTTGACTTTGCACCACCATCTATGACATTTGCAACAAGTCTCAGCATGGATTGTTGTTCACACTATCGACCACTGGTCAAACATAAGTAGATCTTGTGAACCCAAACAAATACTCAATTCTGATTGGTCAAAAAGAATTTTTAAATCACAATATGTAAATTGCCTGTGATTGGCATTTGATTGGCTAACCTTGCAATTGTTTTCCTTGTTTTAAAAAAAATATTTAATAAATGTCAGGTCACGCCCACTAACGCACTACTGATTACTTATTGGGTGACAATAGAATGGGAGGGGCTTGTGTTGCATTATTGAGCTGAACGATGACACTGATTTTATATTATTGTGTCCAGTTTTTGGCGTGTTGATGATTAAATCAGATTTTTGTGAAGTTTTTATTTCTGACATATTTACTGATTAGAATTGATTTCAATATGGTTATGCATTTATGGACCCCAACAGATGAAAGTCCACAGTGTATACATTCACCTTGTACACTCAAAAGAACCCACTCATCCGATGGTCGATGACAGGATGGTGGAAACACAAATGCAATGATTCAAGAATTCATGATTGTATTGACAACAGAGTCAATTTTCTTCAGCTGCTGAAATAACACAAGCTCCGGCAGCTAAGCAACAATCTCAAGGAGTCCCGTCACCACCAGTCACAACCAGTCAGATCTCAGTAGCTCCGGAGGTCAAGGTCATGGTAGATCAAGTGAAGACTGTCCTGCCTCATGTCCCTATTGCTACAATCATAGCTGAGCTGGGTAATGAAAGCAACATGTCTCACATTTCATTAGGACATAGGTGACCTAGCCATCTAAGCAGCTGCAATTTGCTGTGAGTTGTGTCCCTTAGGGCTGCAAGGATCCTATGATCATGGGTTTGAATCCCAGATTTGCCCTGATGAGGATCGTTTATCAGCACTCTACCTGTGTTTATGGTTTCATCAACATAGAAAAAACATGCATCACTTTGGAATTTTCTCCCACCTTGGTGTGACAAGCTGTTTTCGTATTAATCTCAAATCACTCCCTCTGATAATTTATCATCACTGACAGTTAACTTTATGATGTGGATACAACATTCACAGACTGTAGTGAAAATTGAAATTTATGATGTGTATATTGGATAGAATTGATGTGTGTTCTAGACAGGTTTGATGTGTGTTTCAGACAGGTGTGAAGAAGTGTGTTTTAGACAGGTTTGATGTGTGTTTCAGACAGGTGTGAAGAAGTGTGTTTTAGACAGGTTTGATGTGTGTTTCAGACAGGTGTGAAGAAGTGTGTTTTAGACAGGTGTGATATGTGTTTAAGACAGGTGTGATATGTGTTTCAGACAGGTGTGATGTGTGTTTCAGACAAGTGTGATGTGGGTTTCAGACAGGTGTAATGTATGTTTCAGACAGGTTTGATGTGTGTTTCAGACAGGTGTAATGTATGTTTCAGACAGGTTTGATGTGTGTTTCAGACAGGTGTAATGTATGTTTCAGACAGGTTTGATGTATGTTTCAGACAGGCGTGATGTGTGTTCAGACAGGTGTTATGTGTGTTTCAGACAGGTGTAATGTATGTTTCAGACAGGTGTAATGTATGTTTCAGACAGGTTTGATGTGTGTTTCAGACAGGTGTAATGTGTGTTTCAGACAGGTGTAATGTGTGTTTCAGACAAGTTTGATGTGTGTTTCAGACAGGTGTAATGTGTGTTTCAGACAGGTGTGATGTGTGTTTCAGACAGGTGTAATGTGTGTTTCAGACAGGTGTAATGTGTGTTTCAGACAGGTGTAATGTATGTTTCAGACAGTTGTAATGTATGTTTCAGACAGGTGTAATGTGTGTTTCAGACAGGTGTGATGTGTGTTTCAGACAGGTGTAATGTATGTTTCAGACAGGTTTGATGTATGTTTCAGACAGGTGTGATGTGTGTTCAGACAGGTGTTATGTGTGTTTCAGACAGGTGTAATGTATGTTTCAGACAGGTGTGATGTATGTTTCAGACAGGTGTAATGTATGTTTCAGACAGTTTTGATGTGTGTTTCAGACAGGTGTGATGTATGTTTCAGACAGGTGTGATGTATGTTTCAGACAGGTGTAATGTATGTTTCAGACAGTTTTGATGTGTGTTTCAGACAGGTGTGATGTATGTTTCAGACAGGTGTGATGTATGTTTCAGACAGGTGTAATGTATGTTTCAGACAGGTGTGATGTGTGTTTCAGACAGGTGTGAAGAAGTGTGTTTCAGACAGGTTTGATGTGTGTTTCAGACAGGTGTAATGTATGTTTCAGACAGGTTTGATGTATGTTTCAGACAGGCGTGATGTGTGCTCAGACAGGTGTTATGTGTGTTTCAGACAGGTGTAATGTATGTTTCAGACAGGTGTAATGTACGTTTCAGACAGGTTTGATGTGTGTTTCAGACAGGTTTGTTGTGTGTTTCAGACAGGTGTAATGTGTGTTTCAGACAAGTTTGATGTGTGTTTCAGACAGGTGTAATGTGTGTTTCAGACAAGTGTGATGTATGTTTCAGACAGGTGTAATGTATGTTTCAGACAGTTGTAATGTATGTTTCAGACAGGTTTGTTGTGTGTTTCAGACAAGTTGTGATGTGTGTTTCAGACAGGTGTAATGTATGTTTCAGACAGGTTTGATGTATGTTTCAGACAGGTGTGATGTGTGTTCAGACAGGTGTTATGTGTGTTTCAGACAGGTGTAATGTATGTTTCAGACAGGTGTAATGTATGTTTCAGACAGGTTTGATGTGTGTTTCAGACAGTTTTGATGTGTGTTTCAGACAGGTGTAATGTGTGTTTCAGACAGGTGTAATGTGTGTTTCAGACAAGTTTGATGTGTGTTTCAGACAGGTGTAATGTATGTTTCAGACAGGTGTAATGTGTGTTTCAGACAGGTGTGATGTATGTTTCAGACAGGTTTGTTGTGTGTTTCAGACAGGTGTAATGTATGTTTCAGACAGGTTTGATGTGTGTTTCAGACAGTTTTGATGTGTGTTTCAGACAGGTGTAATGTGTGTTTCAGACAGGTGTAATGTGTGTTTCAGACAGGTGTGATGTATGTTTCAGACAGGTTTGTTGTGTGTTTCAGACAGGTGTGATGTATGTTTCAGACAGGTGTAATGTGTGTTTCAGACAGGTGTGATGTATGTTTCAGACAGGTGTAATGTATGTTTCAGACAGGTGTAATGTATGTTTCAGACAGGTGTAATGTATGTTTCAGACAGGTGTGATGTATGTTTCAGACAGGTGTAATGTGTGTTTCAGACAGGTGTAATGTATGTTTCAGACAGGTGTAATGTATGTTTCAGACAGGTTTGTTGTGTGTTTCAGACAGGTGTGATGTATGTTTCAGACAGGTTTGATGTGTGTTTCAGACAGGTGTAATGTATGTTTCAGACAGGTGTGATGTATGTTTCAGACAGGTGTGACGTATGTTTCAGACAGGTGTAATGTATGTTTCAGACAGTTTTGATGTGTGTTTCAGACAGGTGTGATGTATGTTTCAGACAGGTGTAATGTATGTTTCAGACAGTTTTGATGTGTGTTTCAGACAGGTGTGATGTGTGTTTCAGACAGGTGTAATGTATGTTTCAGACAGTTTTGATGTGTGTTTCAGGCAGGTGTGATGTATGTTTCAGACAGGTGTGATGTATGTTTCAGACAGGTGTAATGTATGTTTCAGACAGGTGTGATGTGTGTTTCAGACAGGTGTGATGTATGTTTCAGACAGGTTTGTTGTGTGTTTCAGACAGGTGTAATGTATGTTTCAGACAGGTTTGATGTGTGTTTCAGACAGGTGTTATGTGTGTTTCAGACAGGTGTTATGTGTGTTTCAGACAGGTGTGATGTGTGTTTCAGACAGGTGTGATGTGTGTTTCAGACAGGTTTGATGTGTGTTTCAGACAGGTTTGATGTATGTTTCAGACAGGTTTGTTGTGTGTTTCAGACAGGTGTGATGTGTGTTTTAGACAGTTTTGATGTGTGTTTCAGACAGTTTTGTTGTGTGTTTCAGACAGGTGTGATGTGTGTTTTAGACAGTTTTGATGTGTGTTTCAGACAGGTGTGGTGTGTGTTTCAGACAGTTTTGTTGTGTGTTTCAGACAGGTGTGATGTATGTTTCAGACAGGTTTGATGTATGTTTCAGACAGGTGTGATGTATGTTTCAGACAGGTGTAATGTATGTTTCAGACAGTTTTGATGTGTGTTTCAGACAGGTGTGATGTATGTTTCAGACAGGTGTAATGTATGTTTCAGACAGTTTTGATGTGTGTTTCAGACAGGTGTGATGTATGTTTCAGACAGGTGTAATGTATGTTTCAGACAGTTTTGATGTGTGTTTCAGGCAGGTGTGATGTATGTTTCAGACAGGTGTGATGTATGTTTCAGACAGGTGTAATGTATGTTTCAGACAGGTGTGATGTGTGTTTCAGACAGGTGTGATGTATGTTTCAGACAGGTTTGATGTGTGTTTCAGACAGGTGTTATGTGTGTTTCAGACAGGTGTTATGTGTGTTTCAGACAGGTGTGATGTGTGTTTCAGACAGGTGTGATGTGTGTTTCAGACAGGTTTGATGTGTGTTTCAGACAGGTTTGATGTATGTTTCAGACAGGTTTGTTGTGTGTTTCAGACAGGTGTGATGTGTGTTTTAGACAGTTTTGATGTGTGTTTCAGACAGTTTTGTTGTGTGTTTCAGACAGGTGTGATGTGTGTTTTAGACAGTTTTGATGTGTGTTTCAGACAGGTGTGGTGTGTGTTTCAGACAGTTTTGATGTGTGTTTCAGACAGGTGTAATGTATGTTTCAGACAGGTGTGATGTGTGTTTCAGACAGGTGTGATGTATGTTTCAGACAGGTGTGATGTATGTTTCAGACAGGTTTGTTGTGTGTTTCAGACAGGTGTGATATGTGTTTCAGACAGGTTTGTTGTGTGTTTCAGACAGGTGTGATGTATGTTTCAGACAGGTTTGTTGTGTGTTTCAGACAGGTGTAATGTATGTTTCAGACAGGTGTGATGAGTGTTTCAGACAGGTGTGATGTATGTTTCAGACAGGTGTGATGTGTGTTTCAGACAGGTGTAATGTATGTTTCAGACAGGTGTGATGAGTGTTTCAGACAGGTGTGATGTATGTTTCAGACAGGTGTGATGTGTGTTTCAGACAGGTGTGAAGATGTGGACGTTGTCATCACCAACATCCTGGAGGGGAATGTTGAGTTCACCCCCGAGGAAGTACAGGCCCCCGATGGTAACTCAGTATCACCCCCAACTCAACAGACAGTTTGTGTAAGCACATGTTCAAGTTGATATAGTGCCCTACCTGTGTTAAAACCAAAGTTAATATGGCACCATACCTGTGCTCAGGGGTTAACGGGCCGCCTCCGTGGTCTTGTGGTAGAGCGTTCATGTTAAACTGCGGCATGGTATCTCAGTGAGCTAGCACTATAAATCGGTATCAGTCCAGACAATTACAAGCAGCCACGCAAACACGTGCATGCACGTCGCTATATAAGTGCAATAATCTTGGATGCGACGTTAAACCCATTTCACATCACCTCACCTCATGGGTTAACGAAAGTTAACATTTGTGCCACACCTGTGTGTGTGGGTCTAACCAAAGTTGATAAATCGCCCACAACCCATGTTAGTCATATGAGGTGGGTTAATAGATCTGAAGGTTTATATAACTGTAATATATTGGTGTTTGGGCTCACACAACCCTAAGTAATTGTTCATTCATATCCGTTGAAAGCCAGAGAAAGTTTTTGGTTGTTTGTTTCGTGATTAACACCACACTCAGCAATAAGTTAAACCACACTCAGCAATTTTTCAGTATTGACAATTGCTTCACTCTTCATTCCAGCCATCACAGTTGACGTTCAAGTCGGACAGTTTTGGACGAAATGCAGGAAACCGCCATTTATCTTTAGAAGACAGAAAGAAAGCCATGTATGAGGCAGCCCGGAAGAGGTACAAGGAAAAACACAACATCTTGTGACATTTAACAGACACTGAGGGCGTGACACAACATCTTGTGACATTCGGCAGACACTGAGGGCGTGATACAACATCTTGTGACATTCGGCAGACACTGAGGGCGTGACACAACATCTTGTGACATTCGGCAGACACTGAGGGCATGACACAACATCTTGTGACATTCAGCAGACACTGAGGACGTGACACAACATCTTGTGACATTCGGCAGACACTGAGGGCGTGACACAACATCTTGTGACATTCGGCAGACACTGAGGGCGTGACACAACATCTTGTGACATTTAACAGACACTGAGGGCGTGACACAACATCTTGTGACATTCGGCAGACACTGAGGGCATGACACAACATCTTGTGACATTCGGCAGACACTGAGGGCATGACACAACATCTTGTGACATTCAGCAGACACTGAGGACGTGACACAACATCTTGTGACATTCGGCAGACACTGAGGGCGTGACACAACATCTTGTGACATTCGGCAGACACTGAGGTCGTGACACAACATCTTGTGACATTCGGCAGACACTGAGGTCGTGACACAACATCTTGTGACATTCGGCAGACACTGAGGGCATGACACAACATCTTGTGACATTCGGCAGACACTGAGGGCATGACACAACATCTTGTGACATTCAGCAGACACTGAGGGCGTGACACAACATCTTGTGACATTCGGCAGACACTGAGGGCATGACACAACATCTTGTGACATTCAGCAGACACTGAGGTCGTGACACAACATCTTGTGACATTCAGCAGACACTGAGGGCGTGACACAACATCTTGTGACATTCAGCAGACACTGAGGGCGTGACACAACATCTTGTGACATTCGGCAGACACTGAGGGCGTGACACAACATCTTGTGACATTCAGCAGACACTGAGGGCGTGACACAACATCTTGTGACATTCAGCAGACACTGAGGTCGTGACACAACATCTTGTGACATTCAGCAGACACTGAGGGCGTGATACAACATCTTGTGACATTCGGCAGACACTGAGGGTGGTACAGAAAATCTTGTGACATTCAACAGGCACAGAGGGCATGATACAACATCTTGTGACATTCAGCAGACACTGAGGGTGGTACACAACATCTTGTGACATTCAGCAGACACAGAGGGCATGACACTATATGTGGCATTCAGCAGAGAGGGTGTGGCTTTTAACAGAGGGAGGGTGTGGCACAACATGCAGCATTCAACAGAGAGGGAGGGCGTGGCATTTAACAGAGGGAGGGCGTGGCACAACATCTGGCATTCAACAAAGAGGGAGAGCATTGCACAACATCTGGCATTCAACAGAGAGGGAGAGCGTTGCACAACATCTGGCATTCAACAGAGAGGGAGAGCGTTACACAACATCTGGCATTCAACAGAGAGGGAGAGCGTTGCACAACATCTCGCATTCAACAGAGAGGGAGAGCGTTGCACAACATCTGGCATTCAACTGAGAGGGAGAGCGTTGCACAACATCGGGCATTCAACTGAGAGGGAGAGAGTTGCACAACATCTGGCATTCAACAGAAAGGGAGGGCCTGGCACAACATGCTGAACTGTGGATCATCTTCATATAATGTGAAGAGCCGTCAGACTTCTCATATTCTGGCATGCCATGACATTTGGATACCAAACAGTTGGTGTGTTGTTTGATGATGTTTTCACCTAGACAATCAAATGCAATACTTTCTTGAGAAGATATTGTTAGTGCATTGAGCATGTTGTAAAACTAACCTATATTTTTAGGAACATTGAGTGTCGGTCTTCTAAATAACAATATATTGATGTTCTCAGGTAATAACTGTTGAAAATTTGTACAGAGGTATAGACTCTTTTATTTTGGTGTGAAAAAAGAGCTTCTTGGGTGTCAGATTCAATGTTTCATGCCAGATTAATTTCTTTGCTTGTTTTATCGATCATACTGCCCTTAACATTATTTTTATTTCTTTAAACTACAAATTTTGAACAATTTCTTTTAAATATTTTTTTGGATTGAATGTTACCGATGAGAAAACATCCTGAATCCTTAGATTAGTAAGAATATTACCTAAACATTCACACTATTAGATCTTGAATCTTCTCTTGCAATAATGTTTTTATTGTTTTTTTAATTATGTTTTTGGCCCCCCTTTGGCATTGTCAGTAAAATGAAAAAAATAACTGTTCTTGCCTTAGCAAATATAGATGATTTTAGCGCAGACATAGTGCCAGAGAACCATGATCTTATTTAACAAAAGAATCACAGACATAGTCATGCTGGGATCCTGCACCAGCACCATGCATCACTTTAAAGTTTTTAGTTTTTTGCTTTGGTTTTACGTTATTCATTTTATTATGTAGTTGTGTTCATTTAAGAAATTTTGCATTTGACAAATTTGAACAAGCAGTTTTGGGTTGTCAGATTTGTAAACTTAGAGTGTCAAGAGCTGGACCATACTTGCATCATGCTTCTACATAAATGTCACTCCACCGGAGCCCACAACATGCAAGAGGGACATGAGATCATGTGGGTTTTAACACTTACATTCACTGTATAGTTATCTCCCTTAGACGTGGTAGGATCCGCCGGTCATGGATGATTGTGTGAACCCGAACTCACTCAGTCAAAATGCAAGAATACTTAAAATGTAGATGAGGGAATTATTCTTGAGCTGAGGTGATGATAGTTTGTTTCGGAACCAGGCCCCTGTAATAGCAGAAATTGTACGTCTGGGTTGTGAGCATATAGTTTTGTCCTCAGCACTTAGTTGATTAGGGGCGGTCGGGTAGCCTACTGGTTAAAGCGTTCGCTCGTCACGCCGGAGACCCAGGTTCGATTCCCGACATGGGTACATTGTGTGAAGCCCATTTCTGGTGTCCCCCACCGTGGTATTGCTGGAATATTGCTAAAAGTGGCGTAAAATCATACTCACTCACTTAGTTGATTACTCTGGAAATCTTTGGGGAAACTCATATTTTATTGATAATGGGCAGGTATGTGTGTGTGTGGTGTTGGATGGTTGTTAGGAGGAGGAGGAGGAGGATAGTTTCTGATTCAGTTTGTAATATGGGCATCAGGGTCGTGTGGATGTATAATACAATGTTTAATTTGCTGCACATAGCTGAACTCTGTAATTAAACATAATTCATTGTATGATCACAACACATGTTACAATTACTGTGCATAATTATGATTAAGAAAATGACTTTTGGTTATTTGCCAGTTACAATGGCTGCCACCTGTGAAGCCATAACCCTTATCTGTGGTGGACCAACCATTTAATATTTTTGTTTTGAATATTATTATATTTCATATTTAATTACATACAAAAATGCCACAATTTTGTACAGGATATCATTTTGATCACTGCTTCAGACCATTAATCAAATATTATCCGAACATCAAATGGTTGGTCCCTGTTGGCTTCATTGATACACTTTGTTGTAATACGAGACATATTTCAATAGCAAGTTGCGATACGATACACGATACAGTACATAAAATATTGCACTTTTCGTCATCAAAGAAACTTAAAGCAAGACCACCTGAAACATATTTACCGTATTCGACGTATTAAGCGCCCGGGGCGCTCTCAAAATTGGAAATAGTGTGCTCTTATTAGAATATAATTTTGGTGAGAACAAAAACAGAGTTGATAAATTGTAAATTTAGTACAGTAGTTTATGCTGACTGCCTGAAATGATTCAAAAGAAAAGTATGTACGTATCATACACGAAAGATATATTTTCTAGAATTTAATTGCCCACAATTATGGGTGCATATAACACACGAGTGCGTATTATACACGAATCAATAAGTCTTGTGTACATTGATCAATCGGAAGGGGTGCTAATTGGGATTGTTCACTAGCAAATATATTAGAAAATATCGCCATGGGCGCTTATTAGAGCGGGGCGCTTATTATGTCGAATACGGTAGTAGGTTTGAGTCAAATAATGAACTAGTGTACATACAAGCAGAAAACAGTATGTTCCAATATTCAGTTGCACTTGTGTCAAACGTGAGGACCTTGAGGAGTGGTTCGACTGTATGTGCAAACTGTGTTACATGTCACCCTCATACACCATATATATGATTTTAATGAGATTGAGGTAATCTAGGCTTGTGATTAATCCTGTTTTGTTTATTTAAAGCAGGGGCGGTCGGGTAGCCTAGTGGTTAAAGCGTTCGCTCGTCACGCCGAAGACCCGGGTTCGATTCCAGACATGGGTACAATGTGTGAAGCCCATTTCTGGTGTCCCCCGCCGTGATATTGCTGGAATATTGCTAAAAGCGGCGTAAAACCATATTCACTCGCTCACTCACTTATTTAAAGCAGTAATTGTTTATTGTTAAGCAAGTTTATCTCTGCAGCCGTTGAAATATGCTGCTACACGTCAACTCGTCTCGCATCACTGGGCTGTGTACTCGCGGGCAGATGACCACAGAGTACGCTGATCACTGTGTCGGATAAACGAGACTGTTGCGAATTAGGTGTGTCAGGGTCGGAGTGCGAGACTGTCGGTTTAATGGGTCTAAATAGCACTGATTTAATAGGTTCCCATCATAAGTGTCAGCTAAAGCCGATTGTCGGATTAATAAGTTTCGGATTAACGAGACTTGACTGTAGGTTTATGCTTGTTTCATTTTGTACTTATAATATAACAAGCTGCCAATATGATACTCAGTGAATCGTAACCACCTGACTTTATATTTTCATGGAAACAAGTTGCGGATCAACCATCAGTGGGTACACGTGACTGACGTATCACATGCATCCCTACAGATGATTCAGAAATTTGGTGAACACTCAAGTAACCAATATTTCATTCAGCATTTCATAGTGTGATATAACTTTTCAGTTTTTAGAGTATAACAGTCCAGACGATATTTACAGACTGCTGTTGTATGGCTGGAATATTGCTGAATGTCGCGTTAAACAACAAACACACACATTATCATGATAATATTCAGGATATTTCTCCTTAAGACGCACTGGGGGTACGGGTGTCCAAGTCGTCTAAGGAACCATGATTTGTTGTGCAGAGTTGCGTCCCTTGGGCATGCCAGAAACCTATGATTGTGGGTTTGAATCCCGCTTTGCCCCAATTATGTTTCTAGGTTTGTAAGCACCATACCCGTGCTCGTGGGTTTCAAGTGGTAAATGTTTGAGACCTGCATCACTTCAGGCTTTCTTTCCTCCCACATTAAGTGATTAAGTGACACGCTGTGATATAACTAGAATACTGTTTAAAGCGGCGTTAAACCCAACTCACTCACACACTCCTTAGGACACCCTTATTTCATTCCCTAGGTTGGATGGTGATAGGGCAATAACTTGTGAAAACCTGTTTTTATTTGGGGGAAAATGTGGTACCTGAGGATGAGAATTTTATTTAATTTAACTATTTTCCTGTGAACATGTTTTGCTTATGCAGTTGGCCTGAGAGCCTAGAAAATAGCATTTTAGTCCCCTTGAGATGTATGGAAATTGTATTAAGGGGCTAATTTTCTCATAACCTCTGGAAATAAAGATATATTGTTACGAGGTGATTTCCAATTGAAATGCAAAGGTTAACCTGAAATCTACGTACAGAACTCGGACTGCCTCTGTTGTCTAGAGGTAGAGCGTCTGCCCGGAGAGTGAAAGGTCCGGGGTTTGATCCCCGGTCACATCATACCAAAAGATGTTAAAAGATGATACTTGTTGTTACCCTGTCTGGGGCTCGGCAATAAGGGGCTAAAACAAGGAGTGGTCGGTTAGAGTCAGTATACTGTGTCTCATGTTAAACTGCAGCATGGTATCTCAGTGTGCTATCACTATAAATCGGCATTAGTCTGGACTATAGTACAAGCAGCCACACACACACACACACACACACACACACACGCACACACTTGCATGCACGTCACTATATTAGTGCAATAATCTTGAATGCATTTCACCTCACCTGACATACAGGGGCACGGGTGGCAGAGTCCTCTAAGGCGCCGCGATTCGCTGTGCAGAGTTGCATCCCTTGGGCACACCAGAAACCTATGATTGTGGGTTCGAATCCCGGTTCGCCCTGATTATGTTTCTAGGTTTGTCAGCACCATACCCGTCCTCATGGGTTTCACCGAAGTGGTAAAAGTCTTAGACCTGCATCACTTCGGGCTTTCCTCCCACATTAAGCTGACACGCCGTGATATAACAGGAATAATGTTAAAAGCGGCGTTAAATCCAACTCACTCACTCACTCACTCACTCACTCACTCACTCACTCACTCACTCACTCACACTCACTCACTCACTCACTCACTCACTCACTCACTCACTCACTCACCTACCTGACATACAGAACTGATTGTGCAGTCAGTAAATGACCGCAAGATAATGGATAATCAATAAATTATATTGAACCAACAGTTTTAGGTTGACAATCAAAACAGGCAATACAACAACCACACTCCAACTCTAACCCTAATCACACTTTCTGTTAAAATGTGGCCACGGCAGCATTAAGCATTTTATGAGCGCTTCAATCATGTACTGCCACTAACAATCACCACAAATGTACTTACAACCATCTGTGCTGCCACATAACCATATGGATTTGAGTTAATAATCTTCAGTCTCATTAATACATTCTCCAGTCAATCTTTCCAGTCAGTACACCTGTTTGACAGTTGTTTAATGCCGCATTCGGCAATATTCCAGCTTTATGAGAGAAGTCTGCAAATTACTTTGTGGACATTTGAGATAAAACAAAAACAGTTGCCTTCCATCTTTGACAAGTGATGTTATTGTCCGTTTCAGTAAATCTAATCTATATTTAATCACAACAGTTAATGTGAGTTATTATTGATGGCAACAGTTTCATATCGATAATTGTTAATAATTCTTCCCATCAACGATTATTCCAATTATCAATCTTTTTAGCCAACCCTACTTACAGGTCAGAAGGAAAAATTCAAAATGGGTAAATTTGATTATGACTTAATACCAGCAGATCCTGAAAGATTGGTTGGTTGGTTTGTTGTTTAACGCCGCACTCAGCAATATTCCAGCTATATGACGGCAGTCTGTAAATAATCGAGTCTGGACCAGACAATCCAGTGATTGATATCATTAGCATCGATCTACGCAATTTGGATCAATGACATGCATCAACCAAGTCATTGAGCCCGATCTGATTGAACAAGTGTTTGGTTATGATGCAAGGGGTTCTTATGCATGAGATTACACCCTAGATTGTGACTTGGTGTTGTATTGCTCCATGGTATTCACATGTCTCAATGGTCTAAGGTACCACATTTGCATGCTGAGTTGTGCCCCATAGGGTCCTTTGATCCAGAGGTTGAAATCAAAGCCTCATCCCTATATTGGGTAAACATTTATGACTGGTGTCACACGGGCTTTCCTCCGAAGCTGACATGCAATGATGTAATGTTCTGGCGGTGTTGAACCCAACTCACTCACTCACTCACCATCTTCCCAACATAAAAGTCCAGTTTCCACCCTTGCCAAACTAGACTGGAATTCTGGTGTTTCATTTTGGCTACACTATCGAGTCTATACATAGTCCAATCAAAATCGCGTAATGAACTAGAAATCCGGTTTGTAAACATTTGCAAAGCATGTGTACAGCCACCTGGGCGTTGACAGCTATTTTCCAAATTTTTACATGTTTTTTATCAAGGTGCTCAAGTGATTTGATGCACTTCTGAGGGTAAGAGCCGCTTTATTACAAAATACATCTTGATTATGAATCAGATCATCATGACTGGGCGCTGCCATTTTGTTTTAAGCAAATGCAAGTGATATGAGAGATGGAACCTGATTGGTCAATAGGAGAGACACAGAAGGGACATAACTCGTAAAAGCCACTGGTGGTGCTACGACCGAGCGCAGAAATTCCAGCCTAGTTTGGCAAGGGTGGAAACTAGACTTTTATTAACGCCCTTGCCTCATGAAGATGCTCACTCACTCTCTCACTCACTCTTGCCATAGTGTAACGGCACCTTTTTCCCACCAGTTGATGAAGCATTAGGGTTTTGTACATAGTAATATGTACAGTGGATTGTTGGTATACATGTTCTAATGTAACAAATTGACTATACTTTAACGTTGTACATAATTTGACTTGTTTGCAACCAAATGGTAACATTTA